AGGTGAAACTAATATATGAGATAGACTCATTACATGCAAAGCAAGATAGTTCAAGCTGTGATTTGTCATAATTGTGATGATTATGGCTTACAGCTCATGAAAACCCCAAATCCACAATCTCAGAAAATTAGAATATTGTGAAAAGGTGCAATATTCTAGGCTCAAAGTGTCCCACTCTAATCAGCTAATTAAGCCATAACACCTGCAAAGGGTTCCTGAGCCTTTAAATGGTCTCTCAGTCTGGTTCAGTAGGAATCACAATCATGGGAAAGACTGCTGACCTGACAGTTGTGCAGAAAACCATCATTGACACCCTCCATAAGGAGGGAAAGCCTCAAAAGGTAATTGCAAAAGAAGTTGGATGTTCCCAAAGTGCTGTATCAAAGCACATTAATAGAAAGTTATGTGGAAGGGAAAAGTGTGGAAGAAAAAGGTGCACAAACAGCAGGGATGACCGCAGCCTGGAGAGGATTGTCAGGAAAAGGCCATTCAAAAGTGTTGGGGACTTTCACAAGGAGTGGACTGAGGCTGGAGTTAGTGCATCAAGAGCCACCACACACAGAGACGGATCCTGGACATGGGTTTCAAATGTTGTATTCCTCTTATCAAGCCGCTCCTGAACAACAAACAACGTCAGAAGCGTCTTACCTGGGCTAAAGAAAAACAGACCTGGTCTGTTGATCAGTGGTTCTCTTTTCTGATGAGAGCAACTTTTGCATCTCATTTGGAAACCAAGGACCCAGAGTATGGAGGAAGAATGGAGAGGCACACACTGCAAGATGCTTAAAGTCCAGTGTGAAGTTTCCACAGTCTGTGTTGATTTGGGGAGCCATGTCATCTGCTGGTGTTGGTCCACTGTGCTTCATTAAGTCCAGGGTCAACGCAGCCGTCTACCAGGAGATTTTGGAGCACTTCATGCTTCCTTCCACAGACGAGCTCTATGGGGATGCAGACTTCATTTTCCAGCAGGACTTGGCACCTGCCCACACTGCCAAAAGCACCAAAACCTGGTTCAGTGACCGTGGGATTACTGTGCTTGATTGGCCAGCAAACTCGCCTGACCTGAACCCCATAGAGAATGTATGGGGCATTGCCAAGAGAAAGATGAGAGACATGAGACCAAACAATGCAGAAGAGCTGAAAGCTGCTATTGAAGCATCCTGGTCTTCCATAACACCTCAGCAGTGCCACAGGCTGATAGCTTCCATGCCATGCCACATTGAGGCAGTAATTGCTGCAAAAGGGGCCCAAACCAAGTACTGAGTACATATGCATGCTTAATACTTTTCAGAGGTCCGATATTGTTCTATGTACAATCCTTGTTTTATTGATTGCATGTAATATTCTAACTTTCTGAGATGGTGGATTTGGGGTTTTCATGAGCTGTAAGCCATAATCATCACAATTATGACAAATCACGGCTTGAACTATCTTGCTTTGCATGTAATGAGTCTATCTCATATATTAGTTTCACCTTTTAAGTTGCATCACTGAAATAAATGAACTTTTGCACGATATTCAAATTTTTTTGAGTTTCACCTGTATACTATTATCATTGCATACACCAAAAATCCTGCCTCATAATACATACACTCTTGGTATACAGCAATCATGCACAAATGTTTTCCAGTGTGTATTTAGTTGTGCACAGGGGCGGACTGACAACTCATGGGGCCCCGGGCAATAGGGGATCATGGGGCCCCTGTGTCCAAACTCAAAAAAGCCTATGAAAAAGGTACCAGGGGCATCTCATGGAGCCCCCTAATGACCCCGGGCCCTCCGGCATTGCCGAGTTTCCAAATGGTCAGTCCGCCTCTGGTTGTGCATGGAGCAACACTCCTGCCCTCAGGCTCACAGCTTGGCTCCCCTCTGTGCTCTATATAGTGTGATGAGGTCACTGTGGGAACTCTGTCTTATGTGTCAATAAGGACATCATGGCTGTACTGCTGGCTGCAATATATTTGTGCATGATCGTTGGATACCTGGAGTGTTTTTATTATGATACATGTGAGTGCGTGGCTGTTACATTTATGGCACGCTGTATGTCATGAGAGTTTGAGTGGTTATACCGGGATGATGCCTGCAGCTGCAGTCATTATCCCGGTATCTTTATTTTCAGCTGGCAATGGACTGTTTTTTTAAAAGTGATCCTAGCAGTTAATTAGCCACTGGATCCCTCCACCCACCTCCTTTCCAGGCTATCCCGTCCTACCGGGCAGCCCAGGAATGCAATTTCACCAGCTAACCATAGAGATGATTGAGGACCAGAATGTCCCTGATTATCTCTATGGTCCAAGAAATCGGAAGCAACAAGTATTTTGTCACTTCCAGTTTTGCTGGGTGTAAACAAGCCATTAGTGGCTTGGGAGAGCATCGGATCAATCGATCTTAGTTTGACCAGATGCTTTTAAGGGCAGAGGAGAGATCTGGGTTCTGAGAAACCCCAGATCTCTCAGTAAAGAGTACCTGTCACTAAGCTATTACAAGGGATGTTGTTCAGAGTATTTACCCCCCTTCCTGACCAGGCCATTTTTTGCAATACTGTGCTGTGTTACTTTAATTGAAAATTGCACAGTCATGCAACGTTGCACCCAAATTAAATTTATGTCCTCCTTTTCCCACAAATGGAGCTTTCTTTTGGTGATATTTGATCACTTGTGCGTCTCTTATTTTTTGCGCTATAAACAAAAAAAGACCGACAATTTTGAAAAAAATATATATTTTTAACTTTTTGCTATAAAATATATCAAGTAAAAAAATTTAAAAAAATCTAATTTCATTATAAATTTAGGCAAAAATGTATTCTACTATGTCTCTGCTAAAAAAAAATCCCAATACATGTAAATGAATTGGTTTACGTGAAAGTTATAGTGTTTACAAATGGCACTATATATACTGGAATTTGTTTTTTTTATACTAGTAATGACGGCGATCAACGACTTATAGTGGGACTGCGGCGGGGCATTCTGACACTGGGCGAGAACTGTCACTGACATCCCCACTGACACTAATACAGTGATCAGTGCTAATGAAAAGCACTGACACTGTACTAATGACACTGGGCAAGAAGGGGTTAACATCTGGGTGGGGGGGGTCAAAGGGTTAACTGTGTGCTGTGTGTCTCACATCATGTGCTGTGTTTTACTGTGTAAAACACAGTGTGCTGGAGCTGACAGGGGAGAGATCTGTATTGTTTACATACAGACCTCTCCTCTGTCACTGTTCCTCAGCGATCCCTGGGTGCCAGCGGAGAATCTCTGATCAACAGCTGTAGCCGACAATGGCACGTGTCCCTTACCCAGAAATACAAAACCATATATATACGTGATTTTGCGCAGCCCTGCAGTTCTGCTACAGGGCGTTCGACAAGCTGTTAATTACTAATCAGCCACAAAACCTGTGTAATTAATATGTGTTCGGTTTTAAAGGGATGAAGTGGCAAACCTAAGCAAAGGTCATCAATGGCAGACAAAAAAAATAATGTTCTACTGCGCCCTTATGCAGGCCATAGATGGGTCGAAAACCGTCCGTTTAAAAAAAAAAAAAAAAATAATGAAAAATGGGTCGTTCAATAGGCGACGTTACCACCAACGGTAAAAAAAAAAAATCGGCCGATTTTCATCCCATCTACGGCCGGCATTTAATTACTTCTGTCCCTTGCAGAGAGCTCCGCTATTATATTTGACATGAAAAAGTATGGCGGTTGCAACATTGTACATTTGTATCCATTTCAGATACAGATGTTTTTATTTGGATACAAATAGATACAATGTTGCAACCGCCATACTTTTTCATGTCAAATATAATAGCGGACTGGAATTCTTCTGTTTTCTTTTTTCTTTTTCTTTCAGGTCACAGCTCATGCACAGATTTTTTTATCGGTAAAACGATCGGCCGATTTTTTTTTTCAGCTGAAAAATCAGCTGATTTTTGACCTGTAAAAATCTCACAATTTTTTTACTTCCGATAAATGAAATATCGGTTGGTCAGAGAGCCAATGTAACCACTAATTACAACAAAAATCGGTGGATAAATTCTTTTAAATCATAACGTCTATAGGAAATGATGTCGTTTTTTTTGTGCGGAAATTATGTCGTTTTGGTAACCTTTGTGGCCCTCCCTCTTACTGCTTTGTATCCTGCCAACATGTGTCAATAAAGCTTTGCTGCTTTAAAAGTATATTGCTGTTATTATATATATATATATATATATATATATATAGAATATAAAAGTTTTTTATAGGTGTTAACTGTGACATAAATTCATTTAATTGTGGGGTAATTTGGAACAGCACAATAAACATAGAGGATGCATGTTCTTCTGTACATCACACACAAAGGTAAAAACACAGAAATTCAGGAAAATAATGTTCTGTTTACATGCTAGAACTTTTGACCTTTCTCCCGGAAAAGAAATTTCATTCCTTGAGAAACTTTTCTTTCCAGGTCACCGCACATGCGCATAATTTATCAATTAGAAATTTGGTTTTACCACCAATGGGATGAAATTCGGTTGTTTTTAAAAAATTTACAGCAGGACCGATAATACAAAATACAAAAAAAAAATTAAAACTGCCGACACATTCCGAAAAATCGCAGGATTTTTCACAAGTCTATGGCCGCATTAGTTTACTTCGTTTGTAGCCGTGCCATTTAGGTATAGCTCCTCTTCAGTACAAATCTGTTTCACGTTCTACAAAGTGTTACACAAAGTTCCAAAGTCGTTATTTGGTTTCCAAATAACTGATACAACACACTTTGCTATTTCCGCATGCCGTTACTATGGGAACCGGATTCCGCACTGCTCCCCACGCCCCCATACCATCATGTGACACCCACATCCTGCAGCTCGGTTGAGAATACGCGGAGTGTGGCTGTTGGAAGCGGGACGCGCATGTTCGGTGATGTCAGAGCGGGTGACGTGGTCTGAGACTGGGAAGCAGGAAGTGATATCTTTGTGAAGTGCAGGCTCTGCTACTGAGCGCCGGGAAGGACCCTATAATGGCGAGCTGTCAGCGTACCGGTCTGCTCGTCCTATTGCTGGCACTTAGCGCCTCTCTCCCGAGGCCTGGGGCAGCCTTCTACCTGCCTGGCCTTGCTCCTGTCAGCTTCTGCGAGCCGGGAAAGGAGACGGAGGAGTGTAAGGTGAGCTGTGACATCCGAGGCCTCCCCACACCACGGACTTCCTTCCTTCCTGATGGACAGTCCCGGACTGCACTGCACAGCTCACCTCTGGATGGGGACTGTGCATTGATTTTAGCGGCACTCCCTTCTATTCAGAAGGATAGAATCTTCCTCCACTCGTAGCTTTCCGATTTATTTAAAGAGAGTTGTTTTGTATATGATGACCTGTATTGTCTGATGGGATGCTGGGAATGGAATCTTCAATGGTTTTGAGGAATTTCATTGTCAGTTTGCTGCTTCTTAAGTGATTCTAAACTCACAAGGGATTTTTACATTCTGCCCAGGTTCATGCCAATGTGGTGCAGGAAACACTGAATCCTGTGCGTTTCCTGCATTGCAATCGCATCGCGTTCATGTGGTCTGGTGCGGGCATCAATGATAAATTGACACCCCAAAAACAGATTACAAAAGGCAATGTGATTTGCAGAAATTGGATCGCAGAGGTGTTCTCACCCATGCATTGCGATTTGGGTGCGGCTTTAAAAGACGCTCCTGCACCTTTTTGGTGTGGATGTGATGCAAGCCACACAAAATGTATGGCTCAAATCGCACTTCACAGACATTTGCATGTAATTTGCACAGGAATGCGGTGTGATTTCTGCAAATTTCAGGTGGTATCCTCCACTGCATAGTGTGAACCCGGGCTAAAGAGGAGTTCTAGGCTCCCACCAAAAATGTCAGCAGTTACAAATACCATAGCTGCTGACTTTTAATATACAGACACTTGCCTGTCCAGTGTCATCATCATTCCGGGCTAGTTCTAAAACAGCCTCCAGGTTCCCGGCTCCAGCATTGATATTAAGGGAAACCAGGCATGAAGCCTTGTGGTTTCACAGCTGGTTTCTCACTGTGCATATGCAAGTTGCACTGCTGCTTGTGATTGGTCCCGTAGTCTTCTGGGACCTGTGAAGTGTCTCTGAAGATTGGGGGGGAAGGAGGGGGGCCGAACTGCAGGCTCAGTTCTCTGCAGTTCTCCAGAAGTGGCAGGGAGCTCAACCAGGTACCCAGAAAAAGTATTAAAATATGGAAGTGGAGGGTGCAAACAAGTGGAGCTTCCCCATTTGTGTGTGGAGCGCAGCCTTCTGTGCCCTATTACATATTTATTGTCCCCCCCAGCCAGCTAAACTGAGCTTTTCTTCCTGTCCTGCGATGTGGCCCATGCAGGATGCTATCTACCAACACTATAAAGGTCCCTAACTTTCAGGAAACACATTAAATAGAAAGTCTATGGGAAAACTGCAGGTACATGTCAAACTGGCCTTAGGTTCTGTCCCACTGTTAGCAGCGCTCCTGTTTCATTCTGGATTCAACAGGAGATTCTGAGAGCAACAGGAACCAACATGTCTTTTGGCTTGTGTGGGATGGCAACAACCAACATGGGTGCCCCCCCTATTTAAAGTGCCATCCATTTACGCAGCAGTTTACATATTTATTGTACATCAGGTCCTTATGCAGGAAATATAAGGTCCCTAACTCACATTAATACATACACATACTAGGACATGCAGGAACAACTCCAACATGTCTTTGGAGTGTGGGAGGCAACCGGAACTGGAGGAAACCCACTAGAACAATGGGGCACCCAGAGGAAGAAGATGCAGACAGTGCTGCTGGGGGATTCCAGTTAAGAAGGTAAGGGGCTGCTCTATGCAAAAATCGCTACACAGAGCAGGTAAGTATAACATCTTTTTTATTTTAGGACAAATAATCCTTTAGAATCACTTTAAAGCAGAACTTAACCATAGATTTAAGTTTCCCAAAACAGTTATATTCAAGGCCTCCCATGAATGATAACTGTCACAGCTGCTTGTGCTCTCAGCTGAACTTAGTCCATCGAATGCTGGGGTAGTAACGGATTACATGTCCAGCACCATGGTAGCTGCAGGTCAGATGCTAAGATGGCAACTTCCTTGGCTGTATCGGCTAGGAGGGTTTAGTTGAGCTTTAAAGCAGAACTAAACCCATCATTTTAACAGTTTAAAAAAAAAAAGTTACATTCCCAGTATGCCAGAATTGTTAACTGTCACATTTGCTTGTTTTCTCAACCAAACTGGCAAACCATCAAATGGCTGGTGTCATAACTGATCACAGTTCCATGGCAGTTGCAGATCAAACAGAGATTAATGCAGGCCATAGATGGTTCGTTTATCAGCCGATTTTTTTCATTCGAAAGAATAATCAGACGATTTTTGCACTGTTAGTGGGGCAGTGGCATCGGCCGATTTTCATGGTTTATCGGTCATGCTGGAAAATTTGTGAAAAACGGCAGATTTTCGAAATTATTGGTGGCAACATCAGATTACAGAACGAATAATGTTTAGTTTTTTGGACAAAAAATTGACAGATAAGCAAACCGTCTATGGCCTGCATAAGATGTCAGTTTCCTTGGCTGAAAAGGACACGAGGGTTTAGTTCTGCAGAACTGACCCCTCCTATCCTTTTCAGCCAAGGAAACTGCCATCTTAGTATCTGTTTGAACTGCAGCTGACATGGTGCTGCACATGTGATCAGTTAGGACACCAGCCATTTGATGGTTTGACAGTTTGATTGTGAACACAAGCAAATGTGACAGCTGGCTATTCTGGCATGCTGGGAATGTAACTGTTTTTTGAAACTGGTAAATTGATGGATTTAGTTCCGCTTTAAGGCAGAGCTCCAGGAATTACATGGCTTACACCTGTAGCAAGAACATTATTCAAATTTGGTTGAAGCTGCAGAGCTTTATATTCTACGGATGTTCCTTATCTGCATAGGTTTTTTTTGCTAAAGGTGAAAACTATGCTTTTAAATTGCTTGAGGTGATTGTAGCCATATTAGTGCACTTGCAGTGAGAACAACTGAGTACTGTCTGATACTTTATATGCACTAACAATCAAATTTTCCGGACGAGCTTTTGGGGTATGTCCCCTTCTTCAAGGTCCAAGCAATACTAATACATGAAGTTTTAGCAGAATGTTAGGTATAACAATCTCTGAGAAAAACTGCAAAAATAAGAAAACAAATGTATACAGCAATGGTAATAAAACTTGGCTAGTTGGTGAGATAGGCTGGGGGAGGGCAAAGGGAAGTTACAGATTTCAGAAACTTGTGTAGTGATTAAACTGACTGCATCATGAAAAGTAAATCATTTTTAAAATCCTTGATATAACCTCTTCTCTAAATAGGATATATAGATATCTAAAGAACTCTTGTGTTGAAATCGTTATGATGAGTTGTAATTTTTTGTGGGGATCAAAGTGCTGTTTCACACCCTTGCTGTTGCTTCCTGTAGAATATAAATGTACGGTGACCTGCTCCATTTGCTGGAACCTGATAAACCTGTTGCATACATCAGTTTTTTCCAGCTCTGGCAGGTGCTGATTCTTTTCTTTGTGCTTACCTATATAAGATGGTAATGGGTAGATTTTTTTTTTTTTTATGAGTTATCGGAATACTTGGGGATTCTGTGTTTGCTCTTAAGAGCCTAGTCACACTTGTCAGTTTTGTTGCAGCCAAAGTAATGCATTTTGCTGCATTTCAAGTAGAAACCCTGTTCTTTCCTATTGGGTTGGTTTACATATATGGATTGCAGTTTTATCTGAAAGGTAAAGGGAAACTGTATTAATATATTCTTATATTAACTGTACTACGTGTTTGTGTGCACCTTACCATTCATACAGAACAGTTTGAATCCAGCCTGAGATTTCAAAGGTTACTTCACCTTTTACCAAAAACTGCCTATGCATCTGTTAATAAAAACAAACTGCGCAGCTTTGACTAAGGCTAGGTTCACACCTATGCAGTTTGCGTTTGACCTGTTTCTGCATTGTGTTTTTGCACCTGCGTTTTTTGCTTTTTTTTTTTTTTTTTTTTCCCTTGTAGGCAGATTTTCTGTAGCGTTTCCATTGAGGTCTATAGAACCAAAAACGCAACTTTTTGCATTAAAAAAAAAAAGTCCCTGACCATTTCCAAAAAATGCAGGGATGAAAATGCAGGTATGTGAATGTGTTCCATAGGAAATCATGTTAAATGGACTGTAGTGCGTTTCTGCGAAACGCTTCGGAAAACGCTTGGGTGTGAACCTAGGGTAAAGTTGAATAATTCCCTTGCTATAGGTGTAGGTCATTTGCATACCTCCTGAAGCCTGACTGGAATACTCCCAGGACTTTGCTATGTGAGGAATAATGGTTATTGTGCACCTCCTCCATCAAAGGAGTGACCTCTCAGATTCTGAGCTCAGAGCTACTGCATAGGGGAGAGATGGCATGTGAGGGGGTTTGAATCAAAATGTGATTACTATTATGGCTCTATGTATTTAACAAAAGAAAACAGAATGCGTGTTTTGTGTACAATTCATGATCCTATTCTCATATTCAAAACTGAATTCTAGGCAAGCATTAGCAAATTATTTTAAGTGCATGCATAATCTTCTGCAGTGAACAGAACTGAATGAAATGCATCTGCTGTTGTGAACAATTTGGAAGCAAGACCTACTCAATCAGTTTCAGTATGTTTTTAGTAAAACTATGAAAATAGAAAACATTGCAGCATGTTTAGATGCCTATGTTATAGCATTGGGGTAGTTGTCCCAACAATGTGTGGATAAACCCATGATAGAGCTATGCTTCTTATCCACTGGTCTGAGTGGTTTCAGCATGAACACTATCCATTAGAGATTTTCCCTCTCTACTGCCAGATCTCTGCAACTGTCTTTAACACCTTGTTTACCAAGACTCGCATCTGCTGCTGTATTCATGCGCTTGCAATTGATTTTTTTTTCTTTTCAGCCAAATCTCTGCTGTCAAGTAAAATGAACCCAGGCAGCTGGTCACTTTTACAGTACGCTGAATGGACTGCTAAGTCCTCCTCATGAGCTGCAAATGTGACACTGATCCAAATGCAGTATTTCCAATGCACTCGTTCCTGCAAATGGCTATTCACTATTTGCAGTGACCACAGGCTGGGAACCACAGACCATCCAAGTGAAATATCACCAGCACACCAAGGATTTCTCAAATGGGTCTAAAGCTTTATTTTGTTCTCACATGATAAACAGAAGTAACGTTTCACTTGCTCGATGAAGGGACCCTGCTTGGCTCCAAAACATTGCCTCTTTGTTTATCATGTGACCACAAAATAAAGCTTTGGGCCCTTTTGAGGAATCCTTGGTGTTCTGGTGACATTTCTTTACTTGCAAATGTGACACTGGAACAAGAAATAAGGGAAGGTCTCTGTCAAATAAGCTGTAAAAACTCTACTTGGGTTCTTTATATATTTTTTTTCGTGAGAAGTGATTTATGCAGTGTCTGCTTTTGCCAGGCACTGAACAGATATGAAACTGTTAATTCATGATTGCTTTTTCACAGCTATATTTCAATGCATGCAGTTCTTATGTAACAATGGCATTATGTGCACTATACTTTCTTACTTACTTGGACTTTTTTTTCCCCCCTCAGTCTGATATAGAGCTGTTTGTGAACAGACTTGACTCTGTGGAATCAGTGCTTCCGTATGAATATACTGCGTAAGTGTTTAATTTTATTTGTATGTATTCAGAAATGGTATCGGAAGTTCAAATATATGATTAACACGTTTTGGCTTTCCCATGTACACCACAGAGATGACTTTTCTAGAATTTAAGGGCCAGTTTACTCTACAAAAAATGCATTCCGGATACGTTTTTGCTTACAGTTCACACCACAAGCAGTTCTGGTGTAGTTTGCTATGTTCCAGTATGGTTCTGTGCAGACAAAATGCAGCAAGTTCTATTTTTTTTTTTTTTTTTTCTGCATCGGAAACTGACTGCACTAGTGTGAACCCGGGCCATTGGAATACATGGAAAACACTGTGCATGCATTTTTGATGCAGAAAAAAAGCGCACTGAACTACATCTCGTATGAACTAGCCCTAAGGATAAGTTCACCTTTCGAACATGTTACACCCATACATAGGGGTGCCTGCTTCACTTCCTTTGTCTCCCCTCACTGTGACAGCTGGCAGGGGCTCTTCTTTCGGTACCTGCTGTCACATTCAAAATTGCAACAGCTGTGTGGAGCTCCACCTGCATCATTCATTCATTCACAGGGATCTGTAATGAAGAGACTATGGGATCGTTCACACCCTGGTGCAGAGATGTCAGTTTTTCTGCACACGTTCTGCAAGGACACAACAAAATCAATTGTTTCCTATGTGTCCTGTTCACACAACACTAGTATCACATGCAGATTTTTTTCTGCACAGGAATCTGCAAAGTGTATAAAACTCATTGAAGCACACATATAAACTGATGTCTCTGCATGTGAAATCTGCGCGTCAGTTTCTATCAGTTTTTCTGTACATATGGTACGAGCCCTATAAGTCCCATTTGTCACTGCAGCAGATGATTCGTTCTCAATGGAATACGAGAATGCTGATTAGCATGCTGGTAGTCTATTCCAGCCTTTTTCAACCAGGGTGTCTTGAAGTTTCTTCAGGGGTGCCTTGGCAAAATGCCTAAAAATTGTCTTTAAGACAGCAGGTGGATCAAGATATCGTATGTACTCTCCAGCGCTTCAGGATATGCACAGCCAAAAGGGAAGCCAAGGGTACCAGGACAGCGACAACCAAAGGACATGCTCCAGGGGTGCAGCCCTCCTCAGATGGGGAAATCAGCCACTGGATAGAGAGAAAACAGGTGGCGCACACACCTAGTGCATTATCCAAGGTTTATTGTATGAAGTGAAAGAATAATAAAAACATACTCACTGACGAAGCATGTATCTAAAAAGCATAGAAAAATGACAATGGCCACAACGGCAGGCAAGGTGTTCTCACTGTCAGTGCGGGCAAATGGCTGACGCGTTTCGGGGACGAATCCCTTTCTTCAGAGCTAATGACCAGCCTCTGAAGCAGATGTGTGATGAATGGAAAGTGGGAGCCTTGCTGTTGATGCCTGAGTGGGATGGTGTGGGAGTGTGCTTTATGCCTGTGGGGAAATGGCTCAACAGCAAGGCTCCTACTTTCCATTCATCACACATCTGCATCAGAGGCTGGTCATCAGCTCTGAGGAAAGGGATTTGTCCCCGAAACGCGTCAGCCATTTGACCGCACTGACAGTGCGAACACCTTGCCTGCCGTTGTGGCCATTTGTCATTTTTCGATGCTTTTTAGATACATGCTTTGTCTGTGAGTATGTTTTTATTATTTCACTCCTCACAATCAAACCTTGGATAATGCACTAGGTGTGTGCGCGCCACCTGTTTTCTCTCTAGCAGGTGGATCAAGCCTGCCTTTAAGTTACACAAGGCCAAAGGTTTTTCTTTGGGCTCCTTTATAACCTAGCCATCCTAAGAACCAATGACGCCAACCATTGATATGGAGGATGTTGGTCTCCTTTACGGAATCCTTGTTTGACCCTCCCCTGCCCCTCTCTGTTAGTAATAGGGTCAAATTTGCTGAGTGATGGAGAGAAACTGAGGGAGAAGTGAAACAATGGAATACTAGTCAGTATCCATGTGCAAAAGTGTATTTGCTTTGGACAAATAAATCCCCTCTAACCTTGGGTGTCCTACATGTGTGAATGTTGTTGTATTAGGTAAAACTGTTAGAATATTTTTTTACATTTTAGAATGGGGTGCCTTGAGACGGTCTGTAATTTTAAAGGGTTCCTCAAGGTTGTTCATAACTTTTAAAGGGTGCCTTGACTGAAAAGAGGTTGAGAAACACTGGTCTATTCACACTCCATCCAGCTTTGTAACTGACAGCCCGTACAGAGGTAAGGGCACAAAGCTGGAGTGGGAGTCTCTTGAAGTCTGACATTGCACCCATGATCCACTGATCAAGGGAGCAATGCTTTTCAGGCACTTTTAGTGAACAAATGGTAAATTTGCACATATTTTTGCAGAAAAATGTTTTTTTATTTTTTTTTTTTTTTTCTAAAAGGTGAACTTGCTCTATTAGATGAGCATTTATTGATCTACTACGTTTAGGAGCACTTAATGTGGAAACTCGTTATAGAAGGCTCCAAAAACTTTACAGCTATAAATCAAAACCTAAAATGTTAAAGCTGAACAGGTGGCAGATATAAAAGACATTAATGTAGCTCTGTATTATTTTAATCCTTAAAGTGGTTAAGGTTATTTTGGTTTTTTTTTTTCCCCTAAAATAAAATAGATGTTATACTTCTCTTTCTCTTTGCAATGGTATTGGTCCCTTACCTATATTTTTTCAGTCATCTGCCAGTGCTGTCTACTTCTCTTCTCTGAGTACCCACTCAGCAAATTGTGTGCAGGCATTCTTCTGAGCCAGGCTGTGTGTGTCCACAGACACACAGTGCAAGTCGGCCATGCCACCCACTCCTTCCTCACAGGATTTGACTGACAGCAGTGTGTCCTGCGAGAAGAGGAAGAGAGCAGCACTGGGTTGAGAGAGGATTTAGTTAAGTGTTTAGGAAAGGGAGGGGAGGGGGAGGGTGGGGGCAGAACAAACAGGTAGTGGTACTTTTTTTTTTTTTTTTTTTTTTTTTTTTTTTTTTAAATGTGCGGAATGCTTTTAAGGTAAAAAAAAAAAAGTTTTTATGTAAATGTATTTTTTGTGCAAGTAACTGAACTTGACTTGGTTTCAGCTTCTTGAAAGCTCCTGTATATCTTGGACTTTAGACTGGAAAAGGGAGAAGGCACACAAGGAGACAGTCAATTGTGTTGATGAGACATGCTGTTAGAAGAGAGCAGAGAGATTAGCTATTTAGTCAAGTGCTCCTTTTTGCACTGTCAGATCACAAGACCTGTACAGCCCAGTACACCCAAGCTGAAAATCGTCCAGTTCAGCAGGAGTCCAGTCCCTTCCCTCTGTCAAATTGTCAGGGAAAGATCCTTGTGACAGCATCACTTGTTTTGATGCAAGGGACCTTTTTTTTTTTTTTTTCTTCCAACCTACTGTGTGTACGAAGCATAAGTGTTGCTTAAAGTATGTCACCTTTTATAAAAAAAAAATAAGTGCAATTTTTTTTTTTTTTTTTTGCAGGTAAAAAAATGTGCAGTTATAAATTTATTTGTCTGCAGCCTGTAAGGCATTGCACCTGCGATCAGCAGATCACGGGTGCAATACCAGGAACCTGCGGACTCCCAGTTGGCTGTCTGTCAATACCTCCCGTATGGGCAGGCAGTTTACTGAATAGCAGGAAGAGTTATTGAACTGTAAAAGCACTCACACCAGCACCCTGGTAGTTCATTGGAGAAGTAGAAGCTGTCGGCCACAGGGGCTGACGGTAGTTGTATTTCATTCCCCAAACTCTGAATGAATGATGTGTAGTCAGTGCTCTGCACAGCCACACTGTTTGTTTTTAAACTCTGACAGTGGGTGCAGGGAGAAGATCCCAAGCCCACTGTTACAGGGAGAAGTGGGATCGGGGGGAGAGGAGACAGGAGCTAGACCATGTGACATGTTCAAAACTAAATATGGGTGGAACATATAACATATTCACATTTAGAAAGGTAACTCCTTTAACTGCAACAGACAAAAATTAGGTCTCCGGGCATGCCAGGCAGAACTGTGCTGTGTCACCTGTGCAAACCTCTGGACTGAGTGGGCAGAAATGCACCCCCTTATGGTTTTCATCTGCATATTTAAAGCAAAGCTAAACCCATTGATTTAAGAATCAACTATTTCAAACAGGTGCATCCCCGGCATGTTGTGAATGCTGTCACATTTTAACTAAACTGTTAATCCATCAAATGACTTGTGTCAACTGATCGCATGTGCAGCACCATGGCAGTTGCAGATCATACAGAGGCTAAAAGACCGCTTCCTTGGCTGCAAAGGATAGGAGGGTTTAGTTCCACTTTAAGGCTCCATTCACACTTGTGCCACAGACATGGGACAGTTGGTAAGGTGGATGAGTCTGGCAGCAGCATTCATGATAGACTGCAGAGGGGATAGCCTGCGATGAGGTAGGCCAATGAGGAGGGAGTTACAATTGTCAAGGCGAGAGATAACCAGGGAGTGAATATGTTGCTCAGGTCTGGCTAAAAAAAAGAAGAAAGTCCATCCAGTTCAACCAAAAAAAAAAAAAAAGTTATAATCCTGGGCATGAGGGGAGGGGCTGGTGGCTGTATTATTGATCTTGATGGAGAAGTCAGGGGAGGGGGCACAGGCTGGGGGGAATACTAAGCTCTGTTCTAGAAAGATTGAGTCTGAGGAAGTGGAGTGACATCCGTGCTGCTATATCAGTTAGTAATGCGAGAGGAAACTGAAGGGGTGAGGTGAGGAGTAGAGAGAGATTTGAGTCATCCGGTATAGAGATGGTACTTGAAACCATGGGAGTTTATCAAGTGACCAAGGGAGGAAGTGTAGATGGAGAAGAGAAGGGGTCCAAGGACAGAACCTTGAGGGACCCCTACAGAAAGAGGGAGTGTTGAGGAGGAGCCAGAGTTAAAGGTAACACTGAAGGGGTGATGTGATAGGTAAGAGAAGAACCAGGAGAGAGCAGAGTCTCAGAGGCCGAGAGTGGATTTTTTTTTAAGAGCAGGACAGAGTTCTTAGCGCCATCTAAATTTAAAGCTGCAACTTGAAACTTACACAGTGTTTCCTCTTTGCTCCTGGAGCATGGAGGGATGAAAGGGATGGCTATTCTGATGTTCTGGACAGAACTAGTTACAGTGAACCTTTACATTCCTAAGCATAAACATTTCTTCATAAATTCTCCATCAGCTGTTTCGGATGCACTCATTTTGCAAGAAAAATGTGCACCTAAGCAACGAATTATTGCTTTTATGAGTAATTAAAATTTCGACTTTTCAGAGTCCGCAACTAAGACGTCTTCTCCATTTCTAGTCTGGCCTCACCTTCGCTATGCTGTGGAGATGGTTGTGTGTCTGGAGACAGACTTAAAGGAAAAGTTCACCTTTCTTATCCCGACAGTCTTAGCGGCTGTCAGCTTGTAGTTCTCAATGAATTACCACGGTGCTGTGGAGTGCAGTGGTAGTTCATTGAATTTTCCTGTCAGTATTTGCTTACCCATACATCCCATACGGGCAAGATCTACAGGAGACCTGCATGGCACCAGTGATCTACTGGTTGCTGGTGCAATGTTTTACAGACTCCTGCAGTAAAAAATAACTGCAAATTTTTTTTACCTGCAAAAAAATGTGTATCTAATTTTTGTTACCAAAAGGTGAACTTATCCTTTAAGGGCCAGTTCACACCACAAAAATGCACTCCGGATGCGTTTCGAATAGGTTTTTTCTTAGTTAACACCACACTCTATTCCGGTGCGTTTTTAGTGTGGTGTTTTTGTGTTTTTTTTTGGTTTTTTTTTTTTTTTGCTGTGTTCCAGAGCACAGTTCTGCAACATGCCCTACATCTTCTTTTTTTTTTTTTTTTTTTTTTTTTTTTTTTCCTGCAGCGGAAAAGGACTGAAATTGACTGCACTGGTGTGAACTAGGGTCATTGAAACACATAGGAAAAAACGTGCATGCCTTTTTTTTTTTTTTTTTTTTTTTTTTTTTTTTATGCAGAAAAAATGCACTGATGTGATGTAGCCTTTAAGCAGATTTTTTTTTTTTGTTCACTGATTGTAATGTAGTGAGTTGTTTTATAAGCTGAATAGTTCATATTTGACATCAATTTTGGTAAGCTTTGACAAAGGAAAGGGTTGAACCTGTTGTGCCAGTGCCGCATGGACCAATTTGGACATGATGTAATTTTCTTAATTTTCATTTAAATTGGAGCTACTGTGTATTAGAATTATGTGTTACAGGCATTAACACAGCCTTTTTTGCTTCTAATAGATACATTGATCTTCCACTTCCTGCAATAGGATTGCAGGTACTCAGAATGACAATGCTGTTCGTTCTGCAGTGAATATGTAGTTTTAAGTGAATGACAGATACACCCTTATGTGAAATTTTTTGATTGGTTGCAGGAGGAAGGTTTTTTTTTTCCCTTTTTATGAAAATTATTTTAAACCATATGTATGGTGAGCACCGTAGGCATCCTTGTCGGCATAATGGTTTGTCCCAACCTCTGAAATTGTTATTTTGTTGGACAGCTTGGAATGTATGAAAAAAAAAAAAATAAATAAAGGCAAAACCATTTTTCATTATAGTGGGTCATAAATTATTACGTAACTTTACCAATTTGCACCACTGCCTTTTTACTGCTTTTTACTTGTTAATTATACTTCCTTTTATTTAAGGTTTGATTTTTGTCCGGCAAAGGAAGGAAAGCGTCCATCTGAAAACCTTGGCCAGGTGTTGTTTGGTGAGCGAATTGAACCCTCTCCATACAAGGTTTGTGCTTAGTTTATCAAGTAATAAACATTCTTTAGGGATAGTACTGACAACTTGCTGTTCTTGTGTTTTCATGTCCTGTTGTGCACCACTGAATATTTTTACACACGTGATATATGCCTGGTTCCTACAGGGTTTGGCTTGTAAATGATAGTCTGAAAATTTAACGTAGGGAGCATTTGAAAATACTCACCTTTCCTAGGGTCCTTAAAATTTTTAGCTCTTGTGTGGAAGTGAATGCTGGCTGTAGCTTTGAAAAAGCTTTTTTATTTTTTTTTTTTTTTTTTATCTAGCTTAAGTAGTGCTAAAGCCTTCAATTTTTTTTCTTATTTGTACAGTACAGGACACAGACTTGATATTAGACCCTGGGTTAAAGGCTAATACTTTTGGGTGACTGAGCACTGGCAAAGTTTTTGGGGATATGCCCCTGGGTGTGCTCAGATAACCCTACCCCACTTCTTAGTCCTTAATTTGTTTGCTAATTTGCTTGTTTGTGTGCAAAGGTGATAGAGATCTTCCTCCTTATAGGTGATCACTCTTGGCTTAATTGGTTTATTATTTAACTTCAGGTTTTTCAACCAGCTCTTCAGCGGCTTAAGTTACAACAATAGAAGCCATGTATCCGGATCAGTCCAACCTTGGTAAAACCTCAGGATCTGTACCCAGACCCTGTGTTTTGGGGATGGCATGTATTGTTGCTTCAGGCACAGGTCAGACAGGTTAAATCCTGTTCCTCTGATCATTACTGTAGTCCTATAGCAAGTATTAAGCAGAATATTTCATTTGCTTGCTTTACACTGTGCATCCTGAATAGCATGCATTTAAATCTTACAACTATCAGGAAACTGGGAAAGTGTTTAAGATGTATACAGTGTTAAACCTTCCAAACATTCAAAATTCAGCCACCCAGAACTTAGTCTCAGGTAAATGACCAGGTGTTACATCACACCACAAGTTACGAACTTTACTGCCCTTTATAAGGTACTCTGGCGTTTCCTCCCACTCTTTTGCCATGAGGACTTCACTACAGTACGATCACACCTGGGTTCACAAAAAGGTAATCTGTTCTGCTAGCAGACCCTGGCATTTCAGCCTTGAAATTAACATCTCACTGTACCTATAGAAGATGTTCATTCATTCAGAGATTCTGCTGACAAAGTCTGAGATGCATTCAAAGGCTTTCTTTACTCTTGGAGGCCTAGCTCTGAAATCGGCTATTGCTACATTGTCAGTTTGTCAAACTGCAGCAAATTGGACTAGAGCAATGGACAACCAACTGGATCCATTATTTCAGTACCATATCTTAATGGAGAAATTATAGCAGTTACCTTCTGCCCACCTCATCAGCACTTTCTGCTCTTCGCAGTAGGAGACTAACCTTTCCAATTTGTCGCACTGCCTTGTGCACTCATTCTTGTCCTCTTAAAGCGTAACTGCACTGTATTTGAGCATCACAAACCTTGAGCGTTATTTAATTAATTTTTAGTATTTAAAGCAAACTCATCCATCCATCCATCTGCATGCTTTTATTTTGCTGTGAACAAACACCCCCTAGCATTTCTGGCTGTGACCATCTTGAGTAAGGGCAGATGATTCATGTAGCATGTACTTCGTGTAATCCATTTGCCCTTAGCTCAGGCAGGAGGGTAGGCTTAGCTAAGAAAACCCCTCCTCCCCTCCCTGGGGAATCCTGGGATGTATGACGTTTGCCTAGGCATGGAAACTAGGAAATAGCTAAAGAAATGTAAAAAAAAAAAGTTTAAGTAAATATAATAGACTTCCCTATCTATTTACTAATGCTAGCAGCATAAGGATTGAAAATAGTCAATGTTGATCGCGAGAGTGAAATTCCACTTTAAGAACTTTTCTGAAATACACCTCTCCAGGACTATTCTGACACTTCAGGCTTACAGCTGGATAATCACGTTTCAAAAAGTCAAATCTCCAACCTTCCCTTTGCCTGTAGTACTTGGGTCTCATTCTAGACACAGCCCAAGCAAACGCCTTTCTTCCAGAAACAAACTGGTCAGATCTCATGCTTGAGCCTTGAGGTCAAATAGGCATATGTCTGTGAAATTATCCATGATGGTGCTGCGCTTCATATTGGCTTCCTTCAAGGCTTTTCAATTCATGCAGCTTGATTAAAGGCCTCTCGAACACAACATCTTTATTGGCATGGATAACAAATGCTCCTTCTCTGGACCTGTCAGTGCTCCCATCCAGCCAAGTAAGAGACCCCTAGCTTGATGGATTTTCAAAGCAACCCTGTCAATGGGAAAATCGCTTCTACCATTTCCCTAAAAGGTGATGACAACAGATGCATATCTGTTGGGCTGGGGAGGAGTTTTCTAATCTTTCACAGTGCAGGGAACATGATCACCCAAGGAAACCAAGCTCCCTATCAACATCTTGGAGCTCAGAGAGATAAAAAAGGCTCTGTATGACTGTAACTCTCTTCCACAGGGAACATCTATTAAGGTGAAATCAGACCATCACCAAGGAGGCCAGGAATCTTAGAGCCTTAAATTAAGAAAATCTGATTATCTCATGTATGAAAAACACTGGTCCAAGGGTAATTGGCTCTTTACTCCAATATCTTCTACTTAATGTCAGAGATGGGTGATTCTGGACATGTATATCCTGGCCTCCAGGTTCAACAAGTTACCTGTTTGTGGCCAGGATCAAGGATCCTCTAGCACTGACATCAGCGGCTCTGATATTTCCATGGATTCAGTTCAGATTAATCTATGTCTTTCCTCCAGTTTGAATTATGCCTTGACTGCTCCGCAGTATAGAGCAAACCAGTCATTCTCATTTCACCAAACTGACCCAGAGGAACCTGGTACATTTTTGGACTTCTACAAGACAACCCATTGCCCCTTCCAACAGGCCAGAGATGCTGTCTGTGTCCCCATTTCATCCTGCTTCTCATTCACTGGCTTTAATGGTATGGTTGCCCACGTCTTGAGGGATCTCCGAGTCTCATCCCCACATTGCTAACAGCAAGAAATCCATTTCCAGAAAGATCTACTCTCAGGACATTGCATTAGGCATCCTACTTCAAAATCCACGATCAATTGGTGGATAAGACAACTTATCTCAGGAACTTACACCTTAAAGGATAGAGCACCTCCTGCACTGTGTGTGCTCACTCTACCAGGTCGGTGGGCATTCTGATATAAAGCCTTTGCTTCCTGTTTTGTAAGGCCGCCTTGCTCATACATTTTTAAAGTTCTTTCAGGTAGATGTTTCTTTGCAGTGCAGCTTTCAGTCACAATGTTCTTGCAACTATACTCTTGAGTTGGGTCTGTTGACCCTTTTTTACTGTTTGGCCTGTTGTCACAGTTTTATTTTTTTTATTTTCTCCCCTGTTGTTGCCCACCCTTCTTGTTCATTGCTTGCATATGACTTTGTTTCTATGAATATCAAACCTGTGTGCTGTACTGTATGATTAAGATAAATAGAATTTTGGCTTGCCTTTTTAAATTCCATATTTTGCTGTAGAGTACAGGACACAAGCCACCCTCCTCTCTGTTCCTGTGTTTCTCTGTTTGCTAAGAAACTGAGTACTCATGGACTAGGGTAGGTTTCTTGGGGGATGCACAGGGGGCATATCCACAAAAGCTTTGCTGGGGTCCAATCGCTTAAAGGTAGCTACCTGAAGCCTTCTATAAATATCAGCTTGGCCGCCGTCTACTACAAGTAGTTTTGAAGACTATCTGGTACCCCTGTTGGCCAACTAATTTAAATCCTTACTCAAATAGCAGTCTTTCTACCTGGAAACTGACTGCCATGATTCCTAAACCAGACACCAGACTCCCAGTGGTCCAACCGCCGCTTCATCTTACTCATCATGTCAAACTGTTTGCAAAGATACTTACTCTCATACTTGCCTGGCTTAGAGGCTCTTTGGTGCGTAAGGACCCTGAGGTAGGCACTGTTGACCAAATCTATGGAATATGAAATATAATATTTCTCTGATATAATTTGATTAACCTTAATGAGAGTTCTTTGACCAAGAGTGAAAGGTTTAACACAACAACCAAAATTTATTGGTGAATAGTAGGGAGGTCTAAACTAACATACCACAATCTATCTATTTAACAATAAGAAAAAGAGAAACAAAATGTATATGATTCACCAAATGAATTAAAGCATATACTATTCATACCCTAAACCCACAAACAGCAAGACAAACAACACATACGACAATCATGTATACATGTAAGTGCTATAGAAATGTCCTGATATTTACCAATGGTGTAGCATGGGGGCCCCCAGGATTGGTGGATCTTCTCTCCTGTCTTCCCCCAAAACCTACCCTGATATGCACCTATCTCCCATAGACTTGCATGGGGCCATCCTGATTGGTAGAACTATCCAATCCATCTTCCATATCTGACGCATCTCATCCAGGATTGGACAGTTTCCCCATCCCATATCGCTTACATAACTCAGCCCCATCCTAGAGCCTCCCCTTTTAGTGATAAAATTACATATGCCAGGTCATGGCACCGAGGCGTCTGGATCCAGGCTTTCTCCTCAAAATTCCCTCCATTATTGAGAGTTTGGAGGGAACCTTAGGTCATAGCCTGGTAAAACTGCATTCCCCAGATAGCCATCACCATTGCATATCTAAAGAGAGGGTACTTTGAACTGGCCCTCATACAAACAGAGATTTAAATGGCCTGGTCTAGATTGTTATGTGGGCTCCATAAAGTCTGAGATAAGGTAGTTAATTTAGTGGTTGCCCCCTCTCACATAATAGAACATTCCTTGTGACATGCACATGTTTACACACCAAACATTCCTCCAATACAATACAAAGCTATCTCTACAACTTGATCACTTGTTTCAATGTCTATGTACAACACACCGCTATCAAACCAAGCTCTGATATTTCCAGCTTTGTAACTTGGTTAACATATAGTTAGAAAAATATCTATTTACAGTTGCTGATGAAGATTATACATAAACCCCTCATAAGTCAACAGCACATAACATTTATATAGAGCCACTGTATTATTGCACGCAATACATACACGTCATATCCCTGCAAACCTCCTGTCCTTGGACATTATGTATGGCATTTGATACCATCTCCTGACCTCACATTCAATACATCTTACAATGCTAAGGCTATGGTCCTAACTTCATACAGTTGATCTCTTTGCTTTGCGAATGCCCTTAGGCATACATTAGATACACAGCCTACAAGTTGGAATTTTTTCCAATATCTAGAGGGATGAGGCAAGGGTGCCCTCTTACTCGTCTTCGCAATAGCACAACGTTTCTGAAATAATCCAAACATTCGAAGTGGCGGGTACCCAACACAAACTCTGTATGTTTGCGGACGATGTTCTGTTATTGATCCCCTACTAATCTATTCGACAGGATTTTTATATGCCCTAAATGAGATTGGGGTCTGGGAATCTCAAATTTTGTCATGTATTTTTATGCAGCCCAGTTTTCCGTACTACTTAAATAGCATGCTACCAGGATGTACCTTTCTGGGTTACTCTAGAGGCAGCGGATTGCGATCCGTTCATGATTGATAACCTGCTGAGGTTTACCTCACAGGAACACAAGGTACTCATGAACCCAGTCACCCTTGCTCCCTGGCTGTTAGGGATAGGTTGTAATGGTCCTGTAAATTGATATCGCGCTATACCCTTGTACTAATTTCTGTGCCACCTGGCGTTTTACCCAGCGTAGACCTATCTTCTTTTCAACACTAGACCTATTTGAAACTAATGAGTTTACATCAGTTGGTCACTTCAATGGTAGTCAAGCAAGCCTTTTTCGATGTTACAGTAGCAACCTGTATGACCAGGTGCTCTGCTTGTTACCTTCAGGTTGAGCATTTTTACACCAGTTGTGACCAACTATATTCTGATCTTCACCAGATGAATATATTCAGGCATCTTTGCTCTTCTGACCCTCACACAAGGGCTGCATGCCATGGCGTAAACATCCCCTGGGATGCCCTTTCCCCTATCCCCCTCTTCCTTTTCCAGGTCTTTCCCTTCTTTCCCTACTACCCTCCCCTCACCTCTTTCTCCTCCTGCTTTTCTTATGTTCAGTACTGTTTGATAACTGTATCATATTTTTGTGGAATTACTTTCTGTGCTTTTACATGACTCACCCACCCTCCCCCCGTGTGGAGGTTTGTCTAAACCATTATCTTGCGGGGGTTTTATTCAGGTTTTTTTTTTTTGTACTGTACTTAAAATTGTAAATAAAAATAAACCTTTTTGAACAAGAATATCAAACATACTTAATTTTTCTTTTGCAGTTCAAATTTAAAGAAAATAAAAAATGTGAAGATGTTTGTGTTAAAAAATACAGTGCAGATCAACAGAGTAAACAGAAGCTGGAATTCTTGAAGAAGAGTATGCTACTTAACTATCAGCACCACTGGTAAGTATATCTACTATTTTTATTTAAATTTAAGTTGTTGACAATTGTTCTGGACCAGTAAAATGCTTGACTTCTGTAGCATATTCACATAGTGGAAAGTGCATCAACAAAAAAAAACACCATTTCCATGAACTTGATGGCAAAAAATGTCATTGTGTATTTGAGGCAGACCTTGCAGTAAAATGCAATAGGTTTTATTTACTAAAGCGTGAAAAATTGGAAGCTGATTGGCTATCATGCACAGCTACACCTGATTCTGAGTGCACCAGTTTTAGTAAATCTATCCCAGTGTCTGATTATGCTGCTGGTTTTAATTGCTAGATCAAAGGAAGAAATATGAGAAGTGGATGCCTGACCCTTTTTGTCCTTGATATGCAATACGGTATTTTCAACAGTACATGTTACCTCCAGTTATAAAAATACTAACTTAAAATGTCTGAATTGTGATCTCCTTTCAGATTTGTAGCTTCTTCCTTTTTAGTGGTTCTAGCCCCAATTCCAAAAAAGTTTGTACGCTGTGTAAAATCCATTTAAAAACAGAATGCAATGATTTGCAAATCTCATAAACCCATATTGTATTCACAGTAGAAAGTAGAAAATATATCAAATGTTTAAACTGAGAAAATGCACCATTAAAAAAAACATTAAAAAATAAATAAAAAGCTAATTTTGAAACTGATGGTCACAAAACATCTGGGACAGAGCAACAAAAAGCTGGCAAAGTTAGTGATACTAATGTGGAAGAGCTGGAAGAATATTTTGCAACTAATTAGATTAATTTGCAATAGGTCAGTAACATTGTTGGGTATTAAAAGAACCTCTTAGAGAGACAGTGTCTCAGAAGTAAAGATGGGAAGAGGTTGCCATCAGAATGTATTAGTCCTGCCATGCTTTTCTTCATTTTGATGTTTGATTGAGGTTTATAATTATCATTGTGGTATGCCCTGTGTGGTATTCAAAGCCTGTTTAATACCTGTACTATACATTCTCAGTTGTAGGGGGAGTAAGACACTTATTTTCTTAAGCACAATAGTGCTGAAGAGTTGTATTTTTTTTATACAATTTTGGTGTGTGTGTTGTGTGTGTGTGTGTGTGTGTGTGTGTGTGAAATGAATAAAAAAAAAAAAAGGGGCAGAGGTGCACCAGTCTATGAAAAACTGTGTCTAAACATTGTTGAACAATTTCAGAATAATGTTCCTCAATGTAAAATTGAAAAGCATTTAAATATGATAAACCGTACATAATATCGTAAAGATTCAGAGAATCTGGAGAAATCTCTGTGCACAATGGACAAGGCCAAAATTTTCTTTGGTCAGACAAATTGAAAATTTTGAATATATGTAAAAAACGTGCGCTAGATCTGTGTGGGTGGAGCAGCTAGCATGAAAGGCAATGACCTCAGAACCTTCTAAATGCAATATATTTAACATACAGCGCTAGGATGAAAAGTCTTATCCTACTTATCCTAAATCATTACCAATAACAAAACCCGTATGGCATACGGATATATATAGCATCTCTTGATATTTGAAGAAATTACATTAAACAACACTCTGAATGTGTGGTAAACTCGTGACAGTCTTTCACAGGTCAGAATATCAATGGTGACATTGGTTGTACGTATAGGTGTAGATTACGCTAACCAGATAGCGCTAATTATAGCGCATATGAATGATGATACATGGGTCATCTGCAGTTGGACATCTAGGATACGGATCGTCTGATGGACAGCCACAGGAATTCCAGCCTATCAGCCACTCTTCCAGATAATAGCAAAGCGATCAGGATCCACCAGAGGGAGCCAGCGATCAGGATGTCATCACAGGTCTTAAACCCAGCATCAAGGAGTATGTAGTATACACGAAATCCACCAGAGGGAGCCGGCAATTAAGATGTCATCCAGTGGTCTCCTTTTAAGAGGTAGGCTCATAGAAGAATGAGCCCAAGCACAGAAAATGCCATAGTGGAACACTGCTTTATTGTGAAGAACATCAGTTAAAAGGAATGACACACTTGTTAAACACTTTTGGCACCTAGCAAGCTGAGGGGTCCATGTGGTAGAGTCACTGAGAGCCGCTTCCTGACATGTTTCGTGCAATAGCACGTTTTCAAAGAAAATTGAAAATTTTGGCAAGCATGGGTACTGCATCCTCCAGACTTATGAAGGAGGGGGACTTTCCGGCTTATCATTAATGTGTATGGTTTGGGCAGCTTGCATATGTGCAAAGGCGCAATCAGTGCTGCATGATTTATCCAGATTTTAGAGCAGCGTATGCTCAGGCAAGAATGGGACAACATTTCCTCTCCCAAAACTCCAACTGGTCTCCTCAGTTTCTAGGTGTTTACAGAGTGTTAAAAGAAGGGAATGCTACACCATGATAAACATGGCCCTGTCCCACCTTTTTTGAGATGTGTTGCCATCAATTTCAGAATGACCTTATTTATGTCTTTAAAATTGATACATTTTCTCAGTCTAAACATTTGATATGTTTTTTTCTGTCATTCATTCTGTTTTTATGTATATTCTGTTTTTACACCGTGTACAAATTTGGAGTTGGGGTTGTATTTGTTTATCAAGCAGTGTGTGCGCCATTCATGTAGACTAACTTCTTTGATTACAGGGTAAGGCATGTGGAGAGTCTGTTTTACACACCTCAGATGCTATGCAAGTAAATTTTTAGTTGTGAGATCCACAGGTATATTGGGAAAATAAATATTTATCTTCAAATTTACTTTACGCAGGAATACGTGTTATACCTCTATTTTCTCTCTTTTATAATTGTTTGCAACCTTTACATTAAAATGATTCATCCACTATGTCTATCTTCCAGGATTATTGACAATATGCCTGTTACATGGTGTTATGATGTAGAAGAGAAAAACAAAAGTTTTGCAATCCTGGCTTTCCAATTGGCTGCTATATTACAGAAGATGGACACCCTAAAGATGCATGTGTAATAAATGTGAGCATTTCAGCAGTGATTGAGCTGCATCCCTCATTCTTGCCTCTACAAACACAGAGCTATTTTGTTTTAATTGACAAAAGTAATAGAAAATAGAGATTTAAAAAGCTTGTAGTATTGTCATAGCTTTCTAAAGAATTGATATTATTTTGAAATGTAAATAATAATCTTTCATCTACAGTCTGAATTCCATGAGAGGGATACTTATTATATCTTTAATCATGTGGATATAACTATATATTACCATGTGGTAGAAGATGAAGCAAAGGGGTCAAGATTGGTTGCTGCTAAACTTGAACCTAGAAGGTAAGTTATATCCGTTTATCTGTTTCTTGTGCAGCTAAAGAGGAGACCAAACACCTAAAAGATGCACATTAAAATATCTTCTTTGGTGCGAATTTAAGTTTCACCACTCGTATGTTAACACAAAAACTTAAAATATTGCATACAGTCCTTTTTAGATGTGGTGGCTGCATTATTTTCCTTTTTCAGGCTTTTTTGTTCCTTTTGCACCTAATTATTCTGCCAGTAATATTCTTTCCCTGTCCTAAAGTGACAGTGCTCACTCAATCTACATCATTCTGTACTTTAAAAAAAAAAAAAAAACAATTCTGTTACTGCATCTAAGGACTTGTAAACCACAGCATATAAACATTTTTATTTTTGGATAGTTTTAGATATGCGTTAATCTTTTGACTGTTTGTTTTTATGTGGTGAACTTACATGGCTCTGCAAAGCCATACAAAGCAGTGTGCTTGCAGTGAAACACATACACAGCCTACATAGTAAACCAGTTGATCGCCCCACGTTAACCCCTTCTTGCCCAGTGCCATTAGTACCGTGCCCGTGCTTTTTATTAGCACCGGTCACTGGAGAGGTCAGTGACACCAAGTCAGTTCTCCCCAGTGTCAGAATGCCTGCCACAGTCCCGCTATAACTTGCTGATCACCACCAATACTAGTTAAAAAAAAAATAAAAAAAAATTATATATAGATAGATCACATATTGGGATTTTTTTTTTCCCTTTAGCAAAGACGTAGCAGAATACAATTTGACAAAATTAGATTTTTTTAAATTTTTTTTTTTTTACTGGACATGTTTAATAGCAAAAAGTAAAAAAAATATATATATATATATCTATTTTAATAATTTTTTTTTTTTTCAAAATTGTCGGTCTTTTTATGTTTATAGCGCAAAATTTAAAACTGCACAGGCGATCAAATACCACTGAAAGAGAGCTCTATTTGTGGGGGAAAAAACTATGTAAATTTAATTTGGGTGCAGCATTGGAGGGCAAGGCATTAAAATAAACTGCTGGCTCCTTAAAGCGGATTTGTCTATTCCATAGCATTGATGTAATTTTACTTTTGAATGAATGTTATTTTGTTTCCTTTTTGTATTCTATAATATAGCTACAAGCATACTCATTCTGACAAAGCGGATTGTTCTGGTCCTCCAATGGAAATTAAGAACCAGAAAGATGATGTTGAAATCCGATACACTTACTCTGTTACTTTTGAGGTATTTGTTACATATATTTTTTTTTGTAGATTTTAGACTTGTTATTAATAGGCAGCTCCAAGCAGCCATGTCATGGCTCAGGGTACACACATTGCTTTTTTACTCCCCAACAGTCATGGGTTCTAGAAGCGGTTTGTTTTCTTACAGTATATTTTAGTTAAAAGTGTACAAGAACGACTTGCTGATCATCATTCAGTGAAATATAGTGTCCCAATGTTTGTGATTTACAATTTCCTTATGCCAAGGATTGGTTGATAGAGGTTAATAGGGATTTTAGCCCACACCAAGAGTGGTCCAAGTAGACGGTCCAGGAAGTTATTGATGTGAGTGTTCTTTTATACACCTTCCTAACTTTTGTTAAAGCCATTTTTAAAGTATTTTCTACTTTTTGTATTCCCGGTTAGCTAATACACTTAAACTACCACCAGCACAAGACCATCAGAGCTGGATATACTTTGGGTTAGCAATCCAGCCGTGGATAAACTTATTCTGCTTTTCTTATCCCTTTTTTTTTTTTTTTTTTTTTTTTTTTTTTTTTATTGTAAAATTTCATACTATTGTTTAAAGTTTTAATAGGCGATGCCTTTCATTAATGATATTTTGTAGTGCAAACTCTCACATTTACTAAGACTTCATCAGGCACGGTTACATGCCATATTGAAAACTGATGAAGGAAGATGTCTTTACAGATACTTGCACTGTTTTGTTAAAGTGACTGTTTTAAAGCTGATGTCTAGGTATGTTTTTTGTGTTTTTTTTTTTTTTTTTTTTTTTTTTTTTGGTCTGTTTTTTTTTTTTTGTTATTGTATAATTCCTACGGTCCAGCTTGGACCAATGTAAGTATGCATATCTCATACCTGAGCAATGGCTATGGAAGCTGCAATTTACTGCAGTAGTCGCTGCTATTACAGTAATAATTGTGATCATCTGGGTCCTGTGCGGAGTGTCTTACCTTCTGCTTAGTAACCCCAGGGGTTTGCGTGCTATTCACTGCTGACATTCACAAGAACGCCTTGTATTGTTTCAATGGATACAAAGCGTTCACTGATTGGGTGAGGAGAAGACACACTGCCATCAATGCCCCACCTCATGCAATCAGAAAACATCTTGTGTATATATTGGAAAAATAAAAAATACACCATGTTCTTTGAATGGCGGCAGTACCGAGCAAGCAATTTCCCCTCCTCCCCTTCCCTATGCAGTAAGGAAGCTTCCTCAGCGGTCCTTTAGGCATTAGATATGCATACTTGCATTGGTCCAAAATCATACCTAGAAATCCACTTTAAGTTGTATTTTTTGTTTTTCCCCTTTGCTGTATAGGAAGAAAAAAAGATTCGATGGGCTTCAAGATGGGATTACATTCTTGAGTCTATGCCACATACACACATTCAGTGGTTTAGGTGAGCATATAATTTGTTTTATATATTTCTTTTACGCAAGTATGGATTTGCTTCAGATATGACTAGTGTTACAGGCCCTGGATTCCTTATTAAAGTTAATTGCACAACCCTTTTCAGTTTCCACTCCCTTTGGTACATCTTAGGGTAAAAGTGCAGCGTTTCCCTGTTTGATATAATTACTCAATGCATGGAGCAGCATCTGTGTAGCCCCGCTGAACTCCAGAACTCTTGGCAGGAGAAAAGCTGTTTTAAAAACAATGTAAAGCTGCATATTGCATGGCTGTTTTAGCCACATCAAGTGTTTTGAGCTTTAATGAATTCCATTAATACAGGGGAATTCAAGTTTTTTATTTCTCTACTCCAGCTTCCTTCCAAAACGCACATTTTTGTGTGTTTTATATTTTATTTTTATTCTTCACTGTGTGTAAATGCTCCTCTTCTAATACGCCTTCTGCTTTGACTGCAGAGATACCATATACTCAGGTCTATGTTGACAGTGCGCTCTCCAAGTTCTTAACTTGTTGACCTTAATCCACACTAACTGCTAGTTTACACCAACAAATGTGGTTCCCGACTATGTGAATACCATGACTGCTTGAGGTACAACCATGGGGAAGAAAAGCTTTGTGGTGTTTGTGTAAAATAGATGGAGAAAATGAGTGTTAAAAAAAAAAACAAACAAACAAAACAGGCCTGTACTCTTCTCCCCTCTAACGCTACAGCAGACCTTGCTGATCCTTTTTTGCCTAGTCTTCTGGTTTCAGGATCTTTGGCCACCTTGATAAGCTGTGTGTAAAATGATGTAATTTTGTGCATGTGCAAGAGCTCGCTCATCCCGACACATGCCGGAATTATAAATTTGAGTGGCATGTGTGCAGTCCTGTGTACATTGTCAAGAATGTGAAAAAGAGGCAGATAAGAAACCTGTATTGCAGAAGAAATATAGTACATTGCTTCTGTAATAAAGAAATAGCCTGCCTGGTCACCCATTTTTTAAATTTTATTTAAAGTTCCACTTTGACTGACTTGTTCTGATGCTTCTAAATTGGCCTGTGCATTTTAAGCTCCAGTGACCTTCCTTGAAGAGTTTAAAGTGTATTTAAAGGCCAAAAATGTTGTTTTTTTTTTTTTTTTCCCTTTTGGTTATGTCGGGTGTTTATTACCTTCTGTGTCCCCACTAATGACATTCTCCATCCCTGTCCTGGGAACCATTTTCACTGGAAAGTTAACAAGCAGAAAAATCCCAAATTTTGAGTAGTCACCAGAACAGAAGTAGAGGCGATAATTTTTAATTGGAACTCTTTTTCTCATGGCAACTGTCTATGCTTGTTTACCTCATTTTGTAGAAATTAACTGCTACTTCCTGTTGTGTCTGCAAGACAAAGTGAAAATAAATATCTAAAAATAAGCAGAAGAAAGAAAACCATTCTCTGCTCCTTTTTATGTAAATAAAATCTTTACACTTCTTTTTTTTTTTTTTTTTTTTTTTTTTTTTTTTACTTTTTTGAGGTTGATGTAAAAAAAAATATTTAATATGCAGGTCTTATGTTCTGAATCTAATTTTGTGTCTTGTGTGCTTGGTTGTACAAGTTCTAAAGTGAAATTAGACATTTCATATGGAGTTTCAGAACTTACTCTTCTAAATGAATGGCATCTTGCAGACAGGTTTATTTTCCAATAATTAAATGATGAAACCTGTTTGTTTGGTTTTTTTTTTGTTACAGTATAATGAACTCCTTGGTGATTGTGCTTTTCCTGTCTGGCATGGTTGCTATGATCATGCTGAGAACACTGCATAAAGATATTGCAAGATACAACCAGATGGACTCTGCCGTAAGTAACTGGAGCACAAAAATTCTACACCTACAGTTTCAGATCTTTTTGTAAGCTTTCAGTACAGCGTATAAGCCAGGGGTACTCAACACGTGGCCCATGGAGCACTCTGATGAGGTCCGCAACCTCAAACCAGGGAAGTGCACTCCCGGGGTTAGCATACTGTTGATCATGATCTGGGTTTGCCGACCCGCCATGTAATTTAGCAATAAAGGTCTAAATACCACTATTAACCACTTGCCTACCGGGCACTTATACCCCCTTCCTTACCAGGCCAATTTTCAGCTTTCAGCACTGCCGCACTTTGACAATTGCGCGGTCATGCAACATTGTACCCATATGAAATTTTGATCATTTTTTCCTCACAAATAGAGCTTTCTTTTGGTGGTATTTACTCCCCGCTGGGCGCTTTACTTTTTGCGCTATAAATAAAAAAGTGCAAAAAATTTTTTTTAAAAAAAAGTTTCTTTGTTTCTATTATAAAATTTTTCAAACAGGCATTTTTTTTTTTTTCCTTCACTGATGTGCGTTGATGAGGCAGCACTGATGGGCACTGATAGGCGGCACTGATGGGCACTGATAGGCAGCACTAAAGGGCACTGATAGGCAGTACTAATGAGGTGTCACGGATAGGCGGCACTGATAGACAGCACTAATGAGGTGTCACGGATAGGCGGCACTAATATGCAGCACTGATAGGCGGCACTGATAGGTGACACTGATGATGGGTACTGATAGCCGGCACTGACTGGCATCACTGCTGGGCACTGACTGGCACAACCCCTGGGCACTGACTGGTGGCACTGACTGGCAGCACTGGTGGGTGGCACTGGTGGGCAGCACTGGTGGGTGGGCACAGGTGGGTGGCACTGGTGGGCACAGGTGGGTGGGCACAGGTGGGTGGCACTTCTGGGCACAGGTAGGTGGCACTTCTGGGCACAGGTAGGTGGCACTTCTGGGCACAGGTAGGTGGCACTGCAGAGTGGCACAGGTGGGTGCACTGCTGGGGCACGGGTGGGCGGAGAGCTAGTGGGCGCACTGCTGGGCGGAACTTGCGGGTGGCACTGCTGGGCACCGATTATCAGGGCACTGATCATCAGTGCCCTGATGATCGGTGCCGATCCCCCGCTCTGACAACTGCCGGTTCTCGGCAGTACTTTCCTCACGATCTGACAGTGTGAGGAAAGTGCAGCCGAGAACCGGCACTTGCATTTCCCTCTGATCAGCGTGTCATTGGACACCGCTGATCAGGTGGTAAAAGGCCGCTGTGATTGGCCTTTTACCACATCACGTGATCAGCTGTGTCCGTAGGACACAGCGATCACGGAGATTGCCGGGTGCGCGCCCCCTGGGGTGCGCAGGAGAGCGCGTTCTGGGAGGACGTCATATGACGTCCACCCAGAACTGGCCGGCCGCGGTGAAGCCGTCATTCGGCTATGCGCGGTCGGCAAGAGGTTAACTACACAATCCAGCAACCAACAATATATTATTATTTAAGGTGCTTAAACCTCTTAACCGTGTAAGTACAATAGGTTTTAGTGTATAGAGTAAGCACAGAAGTTTGTATTCTGCATATACTGTACTTATAATTATATAAACAGGCGCAGATAAAGGAGTATGTCATCAAACATAATATAGCAAAGCTATTCAAGCCACTGATGAATCATCACAAAATACATGCATGTGTATAGATACAGAGAGCTACACTTAAAACATAGAAGAGCTGATGTTCAGAAATACATACAGGAATTCAGTGTCCAGTATACAGTAATAAAAAGGAACCCCAAGCCAGACCCTGGTAAAGAGGGGAGAAGAAAAAAAATGTTTCAGGGATGTAAAAAAGAAAACCAAAAACCCTTTCTCAATCTCCTCCTACCTTGCCGACCCACCATCACAGAGCAGCAGTGCAGTGAGCTGGCAGCAGAGGGAGAAGGAGCTGTCGCTACAGAGGAAGCATCAGCTTATGTGGCTCCTGTTCCCTCTGCTGCTGGCTCACTGCACTCTGTTGCTCTGGGATAGCAGATCGGCAATGTAGGAGGTTCTTGAGAAAAAGGGTTTTTGTTTATTTTTTACTTTACATCCTTGAAACATTTTTTTTCTTCTCTCTTTTCACCAGGGTTTGGGTGATACCAAGTGCACGCCTTCTCTATTTCTTTTTAGTAGCCCGGATAGTGATGCTGGCAGCATCTGCAAGAGGAATAGGGCAGTGTTTTAAACACACACTTCTGGGCATAATAGCTTTTGCAATGGGCATATTAGCACCCATAAAAGGGTTAACAACGATTAGGCTTCTTTCACCGTTATCCGCGGGTGCAGCATAGTGCACCTGCAACTTTCCTGAGCGTTATCTGGACTGAGCTATAGACCTTCTATTATATCCTGCTGGTTTGGTGCCCCTTTCAGAGTGCAGCACACCCGCAAGATGTAATAGAGGTCTATGAAAAAGCGCAGCTAGCCCACAGTAAAGCTTCAGGTACACTGCGCTGCACTAGGAGTGCAGGTAAACTGCAGTGTAACAGCAGCCTTATTGGGGGATCAGAGCAGTAACCGCCTGTTTAAATTTGCATTTTGGGGAATAAAACCTTTATAGTTCAGTATGGCCCACGACTGGTTACCAAATAACTTAAGTGGCCCTTGCTCTTCAAAAGGTTGAGCACCCCTGGTATAAGCATTGGTTTTCATTAGCTGGACCCTTGCAGATTTTTTTATTCACAATCTGTGTGCAAAGATGCCCTTTTAACTGTGTGAAAATTACCATACAATTTAGTCTGATGTATAATTTCCTTTTTAAATTTACCAAACTTTTGCAATATAAGGGCCTGCGTTAGCAATGCATTTATTTTGTCATTCAGACCAGTGTGTAAAAACTTACAAGAATCTAGAATTTTAGGGTATTTTTTACACATGCATTTTTTTTTTTATTTATTTTTTTTGTACTGGTGTAGAAGAACCACATAGGCTTTGAATTTGGAAAATTAAGCTATTAAAAACCCAAATTATTATTCTGTCAAAAGATTATATCTAAATCCCAAAAGCAAAAATGTATTATATTGCAGCTTGACAGTTTTTAGATGTAGTCGCTGTATTTTGTTTTCTGCAAGTACATAAAAATATCTATTAATCAGCCAAATACCCAGTGAGCTTTTAACTTCAGTGTGCTACTTCCTCTGCTAAAATCTTTAGTATTCTCTGCCTATTTCTGTTCTCTCCTGTGATCTTCAGAACACCTCCCTCTGAAGTTATGGCTATAAGGAGATGATCTGTAGTCCAATTCAGGAGTGAGATGCCTAGGGTATTAATGCCTGCATATATACAGTACAGTGAGTGAGCGTGGTCATCCTTGAAGAGGAAGTATGTTGATGGCAGCATCACCAGGTGAAAAATGGAAAGACTGAAAAAGGAAAACTAATGTAGCTACCACATCGAAGGACTGGCAGGCTGCAATATGTTGCATTCTTGGATTTATATACAAATTAATGCTTTGTGGAATAGTCTTTTAGATGTCAACATTACATATTTTTTGTTGATTGTTATTTAAATATTGTATGTGACTGATTTTGATTAAGTCTTATGTACTATAACTTTTTTTTTAGCATGCTTCAGATTGTATGTGACTTCATCCTTGTGTTCTGTTTATATGTCTTTTAGGAAGATGCTCAGGAAGAGTTTGGTTGGAAACTGGTGCATGGTGATATTTTCAGGCCTCCAAGAAAGGGCATGCTGCTATCAGTTTTCCTTGGTTCAGGCGCTCAGATCTTGATTATGACATTTGTCACCTTATGTAGGTATTACCAGTGTTTGAACAAAACTAACTGCAGTAATACCAATTAAACAAATGCAGTAAACCTGTCACAACAGATTCATTTCAAATATTTCTGCTAAAGAATATTCAGTACATGTAAATTATACCCTTGGCTACTTGTTTAAAGTAAATTGTGGCATACATTGGTAGCAAAAAGGATACTGAAAACTTTCTGTATTAAAAAAAAAATATATAGTGAATTAGGACTGCATAAAATTGATTAATAATTATATACATTTACGCTCTTTCAGTTTTTGCATGCCTTGGATTTTTGTCTCCTGCAAACAGAGGAGCTTTGATGACATGTGCCGTAGTTCTGTGGGTGCTGCTTGGTACTCCTGCGGGTTATGTTGCTTCCAGATTCTACAAATGTAAGTTGAGATATTAAGAAATGCCCTGGCATTAAAAGATCACCGGTTTGTTTAATGAATGTTTAATGTGAATACGTTGTATACCCACTTTTTTTTTTTTTTTTTAAGTGTACTGGTACTATTATTTTATACGGTATTTATATAGCGCCAAAAGGGTTTGCTCAGCGCTGTACATTAAAGTGGGGGACAGTACATGAGACAATACAGTAACAAGACCATATACGAGAGGTTTGAGTGCCCTGCTCTTTCGACCTTAAAATCTACTATAAAAAAAACTGTTAGCAGTATGGTGCTTTGTAACTGCAAGTTATTGCTTAGTCCTTGGTTACCGTTGGTAATGTTGTAAGCATAGATTGCCTTGTATTTGTTCATGAATTAAAATGTAATCATTTATGTATTTTAGCACAAATGAAAAGACAGATTTATCTGTATTAAAAAAAAAAAAAAAAAAAAAGTTACATTGGTTCTAAATGGTGATTAATATTGCATTATAACAAACTGTGGATATACATGAATCCCCCCAACTTGGATCTTACATGATCTTGGAAAGAAACCTAAAAAGCTAACATTTTGGAATTTTACAAACACAGATAATTTTACAAAAACAGATATTTTAGGCTAAGGCTGCACTCCTGAATAAATCTGTTTGCTGCTAAGAGTTTTAACTACTCATTGGAGGTGTTTTTCAACCTATTTAAACCCATGTGTTACTAGTAGTTTAATCTCTCAGTAACCAATTTAACCGCCAATGTACCATAACCTTTTATGCCTCATCTATGTTCTTCATATTGTGTAAGGGCAGTGTGTACGCAAAGCTTTTAAGCTTTTAACAAGGTTTGAGCAGTATTGTTAAAATTTAAGAAAACTTCAGTTCCAGTTTGGGAATGTTTAAATTCCAATTTTTATTGTGGATGCTGACTGTCACTTTAAACAAGCTGCTAGTAGGCTTTCAATAAGTCTACTTGCAAGACTTGTTTAAAAATGACAATCCATCACTCCTGTTTAAGATATGTTTTTAACATTTCCAAATTGAAACTGAATAGTTCTTTAAAGTTTTCAATAAAACTTTACTTTCTGTACATTCGTCAAATGCCCATCTGCGGGCCTGGGAGCAGCGCGCGGGGGGGGGGGGGGTAGCTAGCTGAGCTATTCTCCCCTTGTTGCTTACCTGTAAGCCATGTGTAAAATGTCACTTCCAGGTCCCCCTGTCAGTTTCCCCAGTATGGCAGGGAAAAAGTGTGATGCAGAGTGATCTGCATTACATTCAGTGGGTGGAGCACAGGGGAGATATGCAGTGTCTTTTTAGACCACGGATTTCTCATTAAAGAGAACCTTTCACCAAAAAATCGTCACATAGGGGACTTGTAAAATTATTTTTTAAATGTGTGCAAAAAGGGTGTTGGCAAAAGGGTTAAATGACAATGCAATGTTTTACTATTCTCTTTATTTAAAAAAACCAATACGACTTTGATTCGGGTGTTGCGGAATGACCACTTGTGTATACATAGCTTTATAGAGACATTGGACTTTAAAACTAAAATACAACAGGCATGCTTTTGGAGCTGTGAAGTAAGATGTGACTTTAATTTCATGTAGGTTTTTGCATGAATGTAAACTGTTTGAATATGTGTGTTTTCTAACACGTTCCTTGTTTTTGTCTTTTAAATACAGCATTTGGTGGTGAGAAGTGGAAAACTAATGTTCTGTTGACTGCATTCCTGTGTCCAGGGTATATATTTTTGTTTGGGGTTTTTCGTTTAGTAAAAATGCTGTAAAATGTCACAGCTAATGGTTTGCAGGGGCTTATTTCTGTAAAGAATAGCCCAAGCAACTTCTTTTCAGAATGAATTGTATATGTAAAATAAAAGTATTGTTTAACCCTTCCTGCTGATCGTGCGTAAATCTGCATGTCTATCTTTGTACGGGACCTAGCACAGAGGTTGGTCTCTCGCCAGGAGTCCTGGGTCTCCTACTAACAATCGGGACCCGGGACTCCTGGCCTCCCTAGCCTCTGATTGGCTATCTCCATGATCAGTTACTGTGAGGCCCACTCCTGTGTTTACTTTCTCTTTTGAATGAAAGAGAAATGATAGTGTTTATCTTAATCTCCTGCAAGAAGAGGAAGATACAAAGTGTGTAAAAAAAAAAAAAAAAAAAAAAAAAAAAAAAACCCTAAAAATTAAACCTAAAGAAAAAAAAAAAAATGCTAGATCAAGGTTTGATCTAGGTCCGTACCAGGATTTAGGGTCAAGGTCTGGGTCAAAAGGTTACAGTCAGTATATTTTGGTTAGAATTAAAAAAAAAAACAAAACAAAAATTAATCTGTATCAGTTAGTGTTCATGTGTTTTTAGGTAGAATAGAAAAACATTTAGGTTGTACTATGGTGGGAGGATATGGTAATGGAAAGAAATATACAGCTAAATTTAAAAAAAAAAAAAGTTGAGGGGTTTTTTTTTTGTTTTTTTTTTTTTTTTAGTTAAGATATCCATTACCATTTTACCACAAAATGAAAGCCCAATTTGTCCTGGAGAAAAAAAAAAGGTATAATCTACCTGGTTACATTAAGTAGTTCCGATTTTATATATTCAGTTTTAAGAAACAATATCAAAGTTGCAAAATTGTGTTTAGGCATTAACATTTGTTTTGCCCTCAGTCACTAAGGGGTTAAAACAATTTAAGAATTCCTGATAAAAGATTTTTTTTTTCATGAGCACAAATATACATACTACTTTTTCAGTTCTAATTTCTGCCTTTTTGCCAAGTACCTGTCAAATTATTTTCTGCCTTTAGATTAAAGAATGCATACTTCAGAGTAATCCTGAAGCTTAACGAAATGTATATTTTATTTTTGTTTGTGTAGGATTGTGTTTGCTGATTTCTTCCTGATGAACCTAATTCTTTGGGGAGAAGGATCCTCTGCAGCCATTCCATTTGGTACTCTTGTGGCTATCCTGGCGTTGTGGTTTTGTATCTCTGTCCCGCTGACCTTCATTGGAGCCTACTTTGGATTTAAAAAGAATGTAAGTATTTCACAACCTTATGGATTATACTCAATAAAAGGTATACACTGCTTGTTTCCTCAGATACAATCATATGGTGGTTATTAAGAATTATCTAGTTTGAGAGGCTGAACATTGGCTTATATTGTTGGTTCTGATTACAGCACATTACATAACAGCTGATGCAGGTAGACTAGAAGAATCCATGAACTACAAGGGCCCTCACAGTTCATTCAGAACTCTGTGAATGAATGTCGCAGCTTAGCCATTCTGTTTTTCAATTATGACAGCAGGTGCGGAAAGAGAATCCCCTGTCTGCTGTCAGAATGGGGGATCGGCGAGGTGCAGGGCTGCTGCATTAAGTAACATGTTACATCATGAATATGAGTTTAACATGTTACTAAAGGTGAACTTATCCTTCAAGTTTGACACCAATTGATTATTATTTGGCCTGTTTTTTTTGTTGGTTGATTTTAGATTACACTCATTAGAAGAGTGTTCCTCTTTAACCACTTCCCGACCGGCCGTTCTATATAAATGGCCAGACGGTGGCACTGCAGGGTCGGGTGGCCGGTGGCAGGAGCTGACAGGGAGCAGAGCTGTTTTGTTTACAAACAGTTCTCCTCCCCGTCGTAAATGCTTGGCAATCAATGGCTGGGATCTGGTGATTGATGGGCGCATGAGCCCCCTACCCAGAAGTGCTAAATCGTGCACCCGTGCCACCCTGTAGCAGGTAGGTTAGGTCACGTTTTACCAAAAGACATCCAAAGTAGGTAAGGGATGTCTAGATAAAAATACACTGTGCAACTTTGACTAAAGTAGCATAATGCCCTTGCTATAGTTATAGGCCATTTACCTCCTGAAGCCTGACTGGAATACTCCTCAGGATCTTGCCAAGTGAGGCCTAATTGTTACTGGTCACCTCCAACATCACAGGAGTAACCTTGATCTCTGATTCAATCCCCCTCATATGCTGTTCTCTCACCTGGTGCAGTAGCTCTGAGCTCAGCATTTGACAGCTCACTTCTGTGATTGTGGAGGTGAACAGTAGCGGCTAGACCTCATTTAGCAATGTTCTAGCAACATTTTGGGAGGATTCCAGTCAGGCTTCGGGAGGTATGTAAATGGCTTACACCTACAGCAAGGACGTTCAACTTCAGTCAGAGCTGCAGTTTTTTTTTTTTTTTTTTTTTTTTTATTTACAGACACCCCTTATCTGTATAGCATTTTTTTTGCAAAGGTGAACTAACCTTTTAACTTGAAATGGTTACACATGGAAGTCGACATTTTTTTATTTTATTTTTTTACCCAATCAACTCAAGACACCATTTGTGGTTTGTAACTTGAACTACACTGAGCTGCCAGGCCTCTTAGTTGAGGGGATAACCACCCTTGTAGAACATCTACATCTAGGTATCTATATAGCTTCTAGTTTACAAAACACATTATGCTTTGAAACAAAATTAATGTTACTTAACTGCTTCCCACCTATTATAATATGAAGGCTGAACAGGAGCGCTGACATCTTGGGTGGATGTCATATGATGTCCTCCCAGGATCATGCCACACGGGCTGTGCTACAGTGCAGTCTGTCACCCGCTGTGTCCACTGGACACCGCGATTGACAGAGTAGTGTACCGGGCCAGCAAATCACATGGAAATTGTATACAACTAATGGCTTCCATTCATAGCCAGAGTACTCTTGCGTTTGATCTCTATGATTGGTCACAGTGATTACATGGTACAGATAGGACCTCAATGTATGACTCTGTCATTCATAAAAAATGGTTGCTTATAACAGTAATTATTTAAAGGAAAAAAAATCTTCCCAGGGTGGTACAGTGACACTATGGTAACACTGTATTGCTCTAGTCAGTGTATTGTAAATCAATTGTAAAAAGAAAAAAATTGTAACAGTCTTAATAAAAAAACTTTTTTTTTTTTCCTTACGTTTACATACTGTCACCAGTCAGTGTCCCTGATCACTGCCACACCAGTTCTGTGGCACTGGACTGGTGACAGTATGTAGAAAAAACAAAAACGTGAGAATTTTTTTTTTTTTTTTTTCATGTTCCAAAAAATTATATGTTAAATTCTCCATGCCTCCTATTTAAATACCTCAGACTGTCTGCTTTACAAAAAGGGGGCATTTGGGTAGTATATGTACTGGCCTGGCATTTTAGGGCCTCAGGAAATGAGATATGCTATCAGTGCATCAGGACTGATCAATTTTCAAATATGTCTGTCTCAAAGTTTGTGGACTCTATAACTTTCCTCCAAACTAAATAATATACACAGATTTGGGTTATTTTTCACCAAAGAAATGTAGCATTATACATTTTGGCCTAAAATTTATGAAGAAAGGTTTGCTAAATTTTTAAAACTAAGAAAAACATGTCAATTTTGGATTTTCGTTTTTCAAGAAATAAATCCTGTGGTGATTAAATACCACCAAAAAGCTTGCTTTTGTGTGAAAAAATGACAATTATTCATACAACACTGTACCCACATGAAATTTATAGTAAAGTGAGACGGCACTAAAAGCTGAAAATTGGCCTGGGCAGGAATGTGGTTGAAAGTGTCTGATATTGAAGTGGTTAAAAACCACCACTTTTGACTTGTGTTTGAAGATGTTTACTTGAATAACATAATCCTTAGCCATTTTATACTGCTTGCTGAGCCACTGACCCTGAAACCAGGTATACAGACTGGATGTCCCAACTTAACTTACTGCATACTTGTTCCAGTCAGTGATTTACTAAGCAAAGATGACTGCTATAGAACTTGCCCATCAAGCAGAAGGTGCCAGTAACACCTATTTATATTTTCTCATCGAGGGACATAGGAAGTTGGATACTGTTGGGTTGCGCTGCCTCGTACAGGATGGTTGGACACATGCAAACAAATTGTAGACCGGTCCAGGATAACCCCTGCTTTACCCAGCATTGCCCATTTATGGAAGGATAAACCTCTTTTCTTCAGGCTCTGTTGAGAAAGGTCTGATCAATGAGCAGTCATTATTCCCAGACATGGAGACCACCTGGGCTCTTATTGATGCCATTCCAACCACTTTAAAACTTGAGGATCAGCCTGCAACTTCAGCCAGTGTTGTTACCTGTCTAGGCTCCTTTAGGGGCCCTAATACAAAGCGCTTTCTTGTGCTCCTGCTGTTCCCACCCATCCTTTATGGAGAGCGGGATATTTGTGGCAAGCTGTTCACATCTCCCAAATGATTGTCGGCCTTGTATATGTGTGGAGTCCTTTATTAAATGGGCTGTACTGCTGTAGTTCCAGGCTCATCCCAGCCTTAACAAAGCACATACTCTCTATGTAGAGGATACACCTGTGTTTGAGGATCCCATTTATAAGCGAAAAGAATCGGCTAATCATAATTTGAAACATTCCATTCGAACTGAAGTCCATCCAGTAGGCAGGTATATAAGGTAGAAATCAAGAATACCTTACTGAGATATTGTTTGGAAAACCTATCACACCTCTTTGGTCTCTGTATATTCTGTAATTTGCATTTTCAAAGAATCCATGTATTTTTGAATGTATCTCAGTGAAGTATTTGGCTACGTTAGTTTGGTTATATGCTATAATATTTTGAAAGTGGTCCCGTAGTCTATCACGCAGTCTCCCTTATCATTCGGCCCACGCATTGCATGGCACATTCCTCACAGGTAATCACATAACATATATTGTATATTAATAATACCCGTAGAAATGCAGCGATATATCCAAATCCACACATTAAAAATTTCCTACACTTTTCAAAAAAAAGGAAATGCGGTAACACACTTGCAGATAAACAAAGTGTAACACAACTTTTTGAAACCCATTTATTTATGTATGCACAATTTGAATGTCACTAGACTGGAGTTGCATATTAATTTGTTCATGTGCAAGTGTTAGAGTTTCATGTTTATCATGAGCGTGTATGTATGTATATATGCATTTTTTTTTTTTTTTTAAATCATTGGAAATATTTAATAAGTGGATTTATTTGGGGATTGCTCTGCAGTCCTATGGTTAACGTTAATTTTGACATTGGTGGGAATCTCTAAGTCATGGCTTGATGAAATTTCTTTGGCTTGTGTGTTTTTTTTTTTTTTTTTTTGTTTTTTTAACATATTGTGTATAACAATTCACTAGCTTTTTGATCCCATATGTATTCTCTGTTGAAGTGGAAACAATATCATGGGAGTGTCACAAATCGTTACAGCATGAGCACTGTGCTCCTCAACACCTAAACAACCCCGGAGTCCTCAACCAAATACTCCTGTTGACTCTAGGTTTAATACATAACCTCTTGGTGCCGGCCGCACAGAAATATGCGGCCTCCCGGCGTCTGTGCCTTGATGTCGTGCAACCGCACATTTGCGTGCAATTAAGAAAACCATATGTGCTAAGAGCGTGCGCCCTGCGCGCTCCCAGCACACATGTCCATTACTCACGGAAAGGTCCCGATTTCTTCTTTTGATCAGGACCTTTCCCGATCATGTTACGGTGGCCACATGACCCTAAACCCCGCCTCATCTCCCGTCTTCTGAAACTCTTAAAGGGCCGGGAGGCGCCAGCGCCAAGGGGTTAAACTGGTGCGTAAGGTGAGATTTTACTTCTGGGCTATAGCTGCATTTAGTAAATCAGCCTTTGTGCTTACTAAGGGTTCACAAAAGGTTCTCCTTGCCTTTTTGCTCCAATTTTGCTAGGTGGATCAGTTAAGGCCTATAGTCTGAAAGATAGGGTTCCTTCCTTCCCTTTTTAAGACACATTCAAACTAGATCTGTTAGTGCCTCATGGGCTTTTCAACATCGGGCATCTGTTTCTCAGATTTGCAAGGCTGCTAACCTGGGCTTCTGTTCACATGTTTACATTCTACTTGGTGAAATGTAATGCCAGATACTGCGGCAAGGTGCTACAAGTGAAGTCTGAGTTTATCAAGCCCTTCTTGACCTGTTTATGTGGACCTGTTGGCGTTGGTACTTTTGCCCACCCCTCAGTTGGACTGCTTTTGGATGTCCCAGTCGTAATGATTTTGAGAAACCTGTGTCGTCATGTATTGCACTATAAGGAAGAGTATTTTGAAAAACTGTTTCCTGGAGTAAAGGACCCAAAAACTGAGGCTAGCCAGGAGTGTGAGGGGGTTAAATAAGGTGAGGTGTCACTACAGTTTTTACAAGTGTCTAATCATTTAGAAGGTAGCTGCATATAACCCAGTTTTAATAAATTAAAGACGCCTTTGTACTGTCCTGTACTCCAGGAAATTAATTTTACTAATAAGTCAAACTTCCTGGGGTTAAAAAAAAAAAAATCTGGGGAGCGATCATTCACTTTCTGTAGACCTAACCCTAATTGAGCAACAAGACAAAGTGGTTCTAAAGGCTGATTTTTTTTTTTATTTTTTTATTTTTTTTTTTACCTTATTTATTATTTATTTATTACAGATACTTATATAGAGCTGTCAGTTTATGCAGCGCTTTACATATATATTGTACATTCACATCAGTCCCTAACCCTCAACCTTAATGCATTCCCTGCATTATAGAAAAAAACATTCAGAATGTGCTCTCCCCCCATACTTGTCTGGCTCAGGAGAAAACACACGAGTGCACCAAGAGCAAGCAGCTTGCTAATGGAGCATTCAGTGGGGAGCAAGGGGCCAGGAGTATCTGAGGGTCTACAATTACCTGTTTTTAGGGTGGAACATGTAAACGTTCCTGCTCCTGCAGCCACTTGGGGATCTGAGCACCTGTGAAAGCCGTAAGAGTTCCCTTTTCCAGCTGTCACATTCATTCAGAGTCCCCAAGGAATTCCCTTAATTTGCATGGATTTTCTCACTTTCTGTTTGGCTATGGGACAGGAAATGAAGGGAAATCTCTGCAATAGGACACAGATGATGAAAAATAATCGTCAGATACAGTACCTTGACTCAAAGTTTTTGACTGCAGATTTTGGTGTACGTACAGTTTTTTTTTTCTCTATTGTCCCCTTTTTGGATAGAGGATGCTATTTTGGTGTCTGGAATATGTTTTAGTGTGCTTCCTTTTTTTTTTTTTTTCTCCTGTTTAAAAGCGAATTGTAGATGGTTATGTAATAATGTATTCACTTCTTTTTGCAGGCCATTGAACACCCTGTCCGCACAAATCAGATCCCTCGTCAGATTCCTGAACAGTCATTTTATACAAAGCCATTACCTGGTATTATAATGGGAGGAATTTTGCCCTTTGGCTGTATCTTCATACAACTTTTCTTCATTCTTAATAGTATCTGGTAAGAAGATATCCTTTTGTTTTTTGTTGTGGTCTCCTATAGCTGTGAAACCCATGTTTCTTCTAGGAAAAGCTACATTGATTGACTTTGGCAGCAGTTTGGCTAAGATAGGAGCCTCTGCTTCTACATATCCAAATGAAGCAATAACTTATGAGGTCATTTTTCTGTCATGGATTGTATTTATTTGAATGTAATATTTTATCCTTTTAATTTAAACCTGAGAACATCTTTAACATCTTTTACTTAGATTTTGTTTCAAAGCATTGTGCTTCTATACTGTAAATGCAGTGTTGTCTCTATTCGTAATAAATGGTGTGATTTTGCAGAAAGTCTAACTCCAGCCAAATCCTTCATTTTGTTTTGGCTAGAGCAGGGATTGTTAGAAGTTGTTGAAGTTTGACAATATTTAATGAAAAGTATTTTGTGTACCTTGGTGATTTGCTATGTGACTATGACTTATTTATTTATTTATTTTTTTTAAGGTCCCATCAGATGTATTATATGTTTGGGTTCTTGTTTCTCGTATTCATCATTTTAGTCATCACTTGCTCAGAAGCCACAATATTACTGTGCTACTTTCATCTGTGTGCTGAGGTATGCAGTTTAATTTTCAATGTGGTGATATTGGCATTTCTCAAAGTAATGGGTAGATGTCGCATTGCTGCTGCTGCATAACATTATATTAGCAAGACATTGTTGCATATTTATAATTCTTATTAGCCATGTACTGGGATGGAAACGTTCTTTGCTCACCTCAGTTTTAGTTATTGGTAATATACAAAGTGCAGTAATCTACAACAACCGGATATCTGTGCGCTTAGTTCTGTTACTAAAATAATTTGCTTTGGGATACTATTGTTTTCACATCACTCTTTGCCTTTTGGTGTGGGTTGATCTATTTATTTTATTTATCTTATTTGCCAGTAATTTTTTCTCCTCCTTTCTCTCAGGACTACCATTGGCAGTGGCGCTCATTCCTCACCAGTGGCTTCACAGCAGTTTACTTCCTAGTGTATGCAGTGCATTATTTTTACTCCAAACTGCAAATTACAGGAACTGCAAGCACCATCTTATACTTTGGATACACTATGATCATGGTTCTCATATTTTTCCTTTTTACTGGTAAGATGCTGTTCATATTTAACGGTGACCGGCAAACACCTACTTGTGTGTGTTTATTTTATTTATTGCAGCGATGTACCTGACGAGACACCCCCCCCCCCCCAGCTTTTTTTAATTCTATTAGCAGGAACAAAATGTATAGACTCAGTAGAACTGTCAGTTGTTGCTGGGAACTTCTTCAGCAGCCTGACCCAGATGGAGGGAGAGAGTGGGAGAAGCAAAAAAAATAAAAAAAACTGTCATTGCTGTCAAGTCAACCCTAGATGTCCATGCATAGGTAGCATTATTATTATTGCATTTATAGCCAACAAGGCAAATTCATTTTCTGCTCAATACTGTACTTTGGTTTTTTTTTTTTTGGTTTTTTTTTATTTTGGTTGATTTGTTGTTTTCTAATTCTTGGAAATGCAATGTTGGCCATCTGTCAAAGAAAATGCATAAGAAGGGGTTATTTTTTAGAAAGCCACATCAGAACAAAGTAGACCCAGAGCATTCTGCCATTCTGATTCACTTTTACTACTGTAATGGGAGCCTCTGCTCTAGGCCTCATGCATAGAGGACATACAAACATCCCTTTTATGGGCATATAACTTTTTTTTCTTTTTTTTTTTTTTTCCCCAGCTTCTTTGTTTTTTCTAAACTTTATACTACTTTTGACAGGTTAACTTGAAGCTACCCAAGCAGATTAGATTTTTCTAAATACTATATTATGTTTTAGACCTAGTTTTAACCTGGAACAATTTGGTCTTGCATCTTTCAGCGCTTGTTAAATTCTATGCTCACTGATACATGTGCATTATAGGGATATAACTGAGCTTTTACTTTTTTTTGTGTATTTTAGGCACAATCGGATTCTTTGCCTGCTTTTGGTTTGTGACAAAGATCTATAGTGTTGTGAAAGTGGACTGAGTAGCACAACAGTGTGTAAAGAATGCAAGAAGAACTTTTACTTTAAAATCTTTAAAGCTGTGGAAACGTATTTCCTTTACAGTATTGTCATCTACTTGTGGCATAAAAGCAACAATCTCTCCAACAGAAGCATTTTTGTTTTCAAATGTAACTCACTTTATTTTGGTTTCTTTTGCATTGTGATGTTCCTGTTTGAAAAAGAAAACTACTTAAAGATGTATGCTTTTGTAAATATAATAACTATGCGGTAATTGAAATTGACACTTCTAACAGAAGAAAAAAGGTGTATGTAATACACAAATATCCGTACTATTAATAAAATATCTGTAAATACAATTTTTGCTTATAGACTTCTAGGTGAGATGAATTGTTCTTGAAACAGGTCGCTACAGAATGTGTTAAACTTTCCTCTAATGTCCTTTTTATTTCTGGTTGAATATTATTTTTTATACTGGGTAAAATGTCCTTACTTTGGTTTCTTTTACTGTTCATTTTCCAATTAGTGATTTGAAGCCTTTAAAACTATGTGCCTCCAGGTCTTTGGATTTTTTAAATTTATAATCTTAATAAATACTGTAAAAATGTGTTTTTCATGGTATTATATCTGGAATACAATATAGTCTAGGAACTACAATATATGCTGTACAGTGTTCAAATAATGTATATGTGGTCCATTGGGTTCTTGTCAATAGCACTATAGTGTGAAATGTGTGCACATATCGATCTATCTACATACACAACAGTTGTGTTCAAAAGTTTGCATACCTTGGACAATTGTATACAGTATGTACCATTTTAAAGAAAACATGAGTAAGCAGGCAAAACACATTTCTTTTATTTTGATATGGGATTCATATTCAACTGTAGGCCTTAACAGAATGGCACAATCATAAAACAAAACATGGCAACAAGAAAACAAATGAAATGGCCTCTGTTCAAAAGGGTCTGCCTACCCTTAGTTCCTAATACGGTGTAATGCCCCCTTAGCATCAATAATGATAGTGTGCAGTCTTTTGTAATTAGTTGTTGAAGAGGCAATTTTTTTTATTAATTCTTTCTCTCTCTGCAGGTGGTAAAGCTGCCCATTCCTATTGGCAGAATGCCTCCAGGTCATGCAAAGTCTTTGGTCGTCTTGCATGAACTGCATGTTTTGAAATCTCTCCAGAGTGGCTTGAAGATAAAGGCAGGAGACTGTGATGGCCACTCCAGAACCTTCACCTTTTTCTGAAGTAACCACTGGAGGTTCAGCTTAGCCTTGGACATTTCAGCATGAAAATGACCCTAAGCACAAGAGCATCCCATGCCCAGCTTTTGTGCAGAAGAATGCAAATTGTCTGCCAGTATTTTCTGAAAACCTGCTGCATTCATCTTACCATCAATTTTTAAGATTCCCCGTGCCTTTTAGAGCTCACCCCCCCCCCCCCCCAAAAAAAAAAAAATCAGTGAACCACCACTATGCTTCACAGTGGGGATGGTTATGGTCATGGTGCGTATGGCTGTGCTCATAAAGCTCTATTTTGGTCTCGTCAGATTACAGTGTGCCAGAAGCGCTGAGGCATGTCAAAGTGGTGTTGGGCATATTGTTACTGGGCTTTTTTGTGGCACTGGTGCAGTAAAGGTTTCTTTCTGGCAACTTGACCATGCAGCTCATTTTTGTTCAAGTATCTTTGTATTGTGCTCCTTGAAACTACCATGCAGTCTTTTTCCAGAGCAGCTGCATTTCTCCTGAGGTTACCTGTGGGTTTTTCTTTGTATCCAGAACAATTCTTCTGGCAGTTGTGGCTGCAAGCTTTCTTGGTCTACCTGACCTTGCAGCAAGAGATCCTCAAATTGTTCACTTCTTAAGTGATTGAAGAGTAGTGAGTGGTATATTCAAGTCTTTATAAAGATGGAAAAGGATATAAAAAGATGTACAAAGTTCCATTACCTTGTTACACAGGTCTTTTGACAGTTCTTTTCTGCTTGCCATGGCTCAGTATCTAGCCTGCTCAGTGCATCCACGTGAGCGCTAACAAACTCATTGACTATTTATAAACTGACACTAATTGCAATGTAAAAAGAACAGATGTGGGAAATTAACTTTAATTGCCATTTTAACGTGTGTGTCACCTTTTTGTATCTGTACCAAGGCCAAAATATTCCAGGGTATGGAAACATTTGATTAGGGCCATTTTGGGAAATTTCTGTTATTTTGATTTTAAAAAGGAGTCAATCAACTATGTGATAATTTAAATGGCTTCATATGATCACCATCCTTTAAATAAAAGTTTTTTTTTTTTTTTGTTTTTTTTTGGCATAACCATTCTTATTTTCAATATCATTGTCAAAGTTTAACGATTTCTGCCAGGGTATGCAAACTGTATACACAACTGTATACATTTTATATTCTCTATGATGGTTAAACTGATGAGAAGAGAGTAAAAAAAAAAAAAAAAAAAAAAAAATACACTAAGATCATTTACATCAGATGCAGCCAGGTTCATTTTTAAATGCAGTACAACTATATGCAAGAAAAATGAATGTATCCCAGTTAGCTTAGTTTACACCAGTGGGTATCACCATGCACACTGTTGTGAGAACAATAATTTAATTATAGGGTCATTATTCAGTTTTAACTAAGCTGTAAAGGCTTTTAAACACTTGCCCTCCAGAGGATTTACCCCCCCCCCCCCCCCCCACCCCTTAATGACCAGGCCTCTTTTTGCTACTCAGCGCTGCACTAATTCAACTGATAATTGTGCGGTCATGCAATGCTGCACCCAAATGAAATTTACGTTCTTTTTTTCACACAAATAGAGCATTCTTTCAGTGGTATTTGATCACCTGTGCGCTTTTTATTTTTCGCACTATAAACAAAAAAAGACTGAATTTTGAAGAAAAATGATATTTTTTACTTTCGGCTCTGAAAAAAAAAATTATAGTAAACTCAAAGTTAGTTATGAATTTAGGCCAAAATGTATTCTGCTACATGTTTTTGGTAAAAAAAAAACAAATAACAAAATCACAATAAGTGTATATTGATTGCGTTGTGTGAAAGTTATAGTGTCTACAAACTATGGTATAGATACTGCAATTTTCGACTTTTTTTTTTTTTTTGCTATACAGCACTGCACTAGTTTAACTGACAATTGCGCGGGTCATACAATACGGTACATAAATTAAATTTTTGTCCTTTTTTCACACAAATAGAGATTTATTTTGGTGGTATTTGATCACCTGTGCGCTTTTTATTTTTCGTGCTATAAAGAACATTTTTTTTTTAAACTATTTTTCTGATTTGTCATAAAAAAAAAAAATAATCCAAAAAACTAAAATTTGTCAAATTTAAGGCCAAAATGTATTCTGCTACGTTTGGTTGCTTTGTGTGAAAGTTATAGCGTCTACAAACTATGGAATAGATAATTGTATTTACACAGCTTTTACTTTGACTGCCCATCACATTTCTTGAGGTGCTAAAATACCAGGATAGTACAAACACCCCCAAATGACCGCTTTTCGGAAAGAAGACGCCCTAAGCTATCTGCTGAGAAGCATATATATATATATATTTTTTTTTTTTTTTTCCCCAAAGTTGTCATTTAAATGATATTTCTCACACATGTCATGGGTATATGTGGAATTACACCCCAAAATACGGTCTGCTACTTCTATCGAGTATGGGGATACCACATGAGATTTTTTTTTTTTTTTTTTTTTGGAGCCTAGCCGTATACAGGAGTCTGAAATCCAATGACCACTTCGAAAGCCTGAAGGTGCGTAACTTCCTCATTTTACTTCATCACTACCTATCACATTTTTGTAGACACCTCAAAGAATTTAAAAAGAGGCATGAGGAGTATTTGCAGATCTAATTTTTTTTTTCCTCACAAGGTATTGAAATATAAAAAAAAAAGAAATGCCCAGCCTTATGCCACACATCACTTACCTCTTCTAACCACCTGAACATCAATCCTTTTCTGACACTTTTTTTTATTCACATGAATAAAATCATCAGTATTTTTTTTACTAGGAATTAATTGAAACTCCCAAACATTATATATATTTTTTTTTTAAGCAAGCACCCTAGTGAATACAATGGTGGATGCTGCAATTTTTGTTTTATGTCAGATAGTATTTGTTCAGTGATTATTTTTTTTTTTTTACACTTTTAGTGCACAAAAACACAATATATTGGCCAATTATTTGGTAAAATATAAAAGATGATGGTAGGCCGAGTTAAATAGATACCAAACATGACCTGCTTTAAAACTGTGCATGCCCCGTGCAATGGCGACAAGCTGCATATGTTTTTAATATCCATAGGCAAAGCTTTACAAGCTACCATTTTAGATTTACAGAGCTCTAGTGCTAGGATTACTGCCCTTGATCTGATGTTCATGGTGTCCACACAGGTGGGAGGCGAGGGTGCTTTTTTTATTATTATTATTTTTTAGACTCCCTTTTTTCATTTTTTTTTTATCACTTTTAATGCTATCACAGGGAATGCAAATATCCCCTATAACTTCAATGACCATTGTCATATTCTTTTTTAAGAAATATGGGGTCTGTCAGGCTCTAGATATCTCCTCTGCCCTTACATTATCTAATCAAACCAAGATCGGTGTGATCAGATGCTTTCCCAATTTACAAATGGCGCTGTTTATATCCTGCAAAACTGAAGTGATGAAATGCTCGTAGCTTCTGATTTCTTAGCCTATAGAGATGATTGGCACCATTCCAGTCTCCAATCAGCTCTATGGTCAGCTGGCAGAAACACCAGCTGCATTCTCAGGTTCCCCCCATAGCATGAGACTGCCCGAGAAGGCCGTTGAAGGTAGCAGGGGAGGGGGGCATCATCTCCCGTTGCTTGTAGAAGCAATCTTGCAGCTAATTAGCCACTAGGATTGCTTTTACATGAAAGCCATTCGTCAGCTGATAAAAATTATACCAGGATGATGCCTGCAGCTGTAGGCATCATCCTGGTATAACCATTTAAAGTCCAATGATGTACCAGTATGTCG